TCAACATGTAGACTATCACTAAAGGGCATGTTATTGTATATGTTTCTCATTTTAGTGTTCCTGTTTTATTTTTTCTCATGACATTTCAATGTTACATCGTATTTGCAATATTTTTGAATAAAATATTTTCTGTCTTGAGTTATTGTTTCTCTGCTAATAGAAATCATATAGTATACGATATATATACCGATACTGTAAACCTTGAAAGTACTGTTGACTGAGAATAATCGAATACGTGAAGAAATATTTGATAAGTTGATCAAGATATCATATTTCACGAAAAAAAAACATATAATACGATTTAGATTTTTTCAATTTCTATTTTCACATACCTTCAGAGGCATATTTGCTAGAAGCATAGATATTACATGGACACTTCTCTTGCAGTTGCAATGAAATTTCCCCGTGCAGTGAACAATTTACTGAGGTTCAAAGATTTAAAAAGATAACAACGTTTCTAATTATTTACTAATCTTATCATCATTTACACATCTCGGGATGTTTTTCATGCCAGATCCGATTATTTGGGAAACTGAAAATATATTTTTGTGACCCATGTAGCAAATATTCGTCATTGTAGTAATGATATTAGGAAAGCATTTTTAGTTCTACAAGTATGAGAATATTATAATGTTTTGATATTTCAAGCTAACTCTCGATAGAAAATAGATGGTGGTGATTAAACTTTGTAAAGACAAAAACGCGATTGGAGGTTATCGAGCTATACTAGGAGAACTAAAGAATATATATTTCATATCGCACTTTTCAAAACAGAAATTGCTATGTTCAGTGATACAAATTATTCACCTACTCTTATACATACTATTTACCTTCCTAGTTATGGGGTACAAAGGGATTATGCATTGGGGAGATTTTAATATGGAGTTTATATAGGGGTAGGAAATGCATATCTCCGGAGCAGTAAACCCCATTTCGAAACCCAGCGTAAATAACTGCTTTATCCTATACCCAGAAGATTTTTAGAATTGCCGAAAGTGGAAAGGTATGCTCGGGAGCGGGAGATATGGCGGGAGATACGTAGGTTCTGGATATGGAAACTTAAGAGTCGGGATACAGATGAGAATATATCTTGCTAACTTATCTTCCTAAAACTACTTGGCATAGGATAAATAGAGATTACTTTATATAAGGTTCTAGGTTTCAAGGGCAGATAAATTATATGGTCCTAGGATAATACCAATATTCAGAACCTACTAAAGGAAAAACTGTTTATCCCATGCCCCTTTATATTCAATGGCTTGATTTTTCCAGCGCACTTGGCACTTAGATAGATAATGAGAACTGAGTCTAACGTGAAGCGGGAAGATACATCCGCCTGCTCAGCCGGTGTGAAAGAAATGATGGTCTCCCAGGGATTATGGTCCCCTTTCTTAACGGCCCTTACTGGCCCTGATTGTGTATAAGATAATGAGGGAAAGATTTGTATTTAGGTCACCATATAAATCAATGGAGAGTAGGACCATAATTTGATAGGACCTCCTACCCTTTTACACCGGCATGTGAATATGGATTATGTTGGAGGTTTTTGGATACAGGGTTTATCCTCAGGGAAATATGTGTATTTCCCAATGGACCGCAGTGACCGAGGGATATATATATATATATATATATATATATTTCCAGCTGTATCCAACTTGCTCTGGAGCTTTTTACCAACCTAATTTTTTACCTCAAATGCGTCGTAGAATGGGATAAATGTTGTTATACAATAAATATTTTAATTAAAAGTGTCCCAAGAAGCGATGGAACAACCGAAGGTAAGTTGGACATGTAACGGTTTGTCGGAGAGGTTCTAAGAGAAGATTTGAAACTTTAGATCCTCGTAATAATATATGTAACACACATGTATAAAGATTCCTGAATGATGTTCATGCTATTGCCCCGAACCGGTCCGTCTTCTCGCTGCAGGCAGGATGAAATTCTTTGTCACAAAGTTTGGCATTTTTTATAAAATCAAACGCGCGTCATTGAAACTCACAATATGTAAAAAGCATGTCATTTACATCATACCTTGATGGGGAAAAATAGATCTTATATGTTAGAAGTACTAAATAAAAGTTATCGTGAAAATGAGACAGTCGTTCTCGAGAGAAAAGAGCATAAATGCGCATTTAGAGAGTCTTGGTCCGTTTAAAAATCTGTAAAAAATTGGGGTACTTAAAAGCATCGGGAGGAATCATATATTTCAAATTAGACACGAGGAAGTCAATATTGAGCAAGTTATGGCTGTTTTAAATTCAAATAAAACCGTTAACCCGTGCCGGTCCAGCTTTTGACCCGTGCCGGTCAATTTTCGTTAGCTGCGTATACCAAGGGTGATATCTCTTTCAGTAAAATCTACTAAGTGAAAACTAAGGGACTCATGGTTGTACTAAGCAAATACATAATAATATTCTTTTTAAAGTGTTGTGTTCCACTATTCCATTACTCTACACCTCCCTAAACCTAATACTACATGATTAATTTGACTATACCAGGCCATCCATGTATGATTTACAAATTAAGCATGGGACTACATGCTTAAAGTTTGAGTCTATTATGCTTAAATCATTTTTGTTTAACTTTAATATCTCGGTATGTCTGAATATTTAATTTCACTTTATATAGCCATTTGCGTCACATGATGAGTCCCCTAAAATTGTTGCTGTTACAGATTGGAGTGATAAAAATATGATGTCACAGATAATGAAGATAGGTTCTTAGTGTCACTGATTGGTGGGTCAAGAAATAATAATAAAGTGTTGCAGTTATGAGTGATATACTTGTAAGTGTTGGTGTTACAGATTTGAGAAACAATATGGTGTCACAGATTGGCATCATTGAAAGTTTGAATGGTTTAGATTGGTGAGATGTAAAAAGTTGGTAAAGAAGTCTTCAATGTGGAATGATGTAAAAGTAGGGAGTAATCCCACTCTCCACAGGTGACACTTGTTATAATGCTAGTGTAACATGTGTCACAGTAACAAATGTCCCTGTAACAATTCGTAATGCTGAGACTGATTATTTGCATAATATGTAGGCCTACTGATATAGTATGAGTATGCATATCCTATATTAACACGCAGTAGCATTTTAGATTGTTTTGCAATATCGTAAACAAAATCATACTCACAGTGATGTTGTGAATGCATCGAGATTGCTCGGAAGTTGTGTCAAATTCAATCCATGACAGTCGACGATCCATGTACCAGAAGGGTTTGCTTCTGATTTCTTGCAATGACAAATCGTTGGGCAATGTTTAGTTAGCTCTGTATCGTTCCCAGAAACACGTAAACTTGTTAAAAACATCGTAAAAATCCAGAGCGACCAAGTCCACCACTTCAACGTGATGGCCATGTTTTCTGTTTTGAAGCAGAAGCTTTTTTGTGACCCGAAAGTGATCAGTAGATCTCAACTCCGAAAATTGATTCTAAACCTGTTGAACAGCCGCTCAATCGTATTTGTGATGTATCGGTGAGAAATAAAGCGGCGTATCCTTCACAGCGTAAATCTAAATTGATTTTTGTAAAATACAATAATTTGTGTCTCCATTTTATTGATTTAGCAGACGCTTACTCGAAAATGACCATTTACCGGTCCTTTCGAGTTAATTAGCAGGTGCAATATGCCAAGTCCTTTGATCTCCACGGCTTTACTGACCGAACACTCGGAACAGGTTTACTGCATGCTTGACCGTTGCCATTGAGGTAAGTATTTTGTCAAATTTTACAGTGAAACAAACCCACATATTTCTTTTGGGGAATAAACATGAAAGCTGAACGGAGATAACTTCGCGGCCTCTCTAGTAGGGCTAGACAAGTACATACCTGCCAACTACCGATTCACTAAAACAAGAGATATCATGCTTTTTGCGCCATTTCTCCTGTTTTTAAAAAGTTTTGCTTCTCCCCACTTAATCACCTGATTAAAGAATTTATTGTCCCTTAATTTAAGAAATGTATGCAAAAAGAATATAGTGGGACCCCCGTATTGTCCTAGGCAAATCTCTCTAGGGTGACTGGGACATGGGGCAAAACGGCTATGTGGGGCAAAATGGCCCATCGAAATATCTTTTGAACATAAAAAAGATGGTTCTTCAAAAGTCACATGAATCGAATTTTGAAATTTCCGCCACCTTCTCGACCGCCTAACCTAGCAGCACCTCGCCTTACGTAGGCCTAGGATGTAATTCTACTTTTCACTCTCTTTATGCAAATTACCCCTAGGCCTCCCACGGGAATCTATAACTATCAGGCTACAATAGAATATCGTTTTAGATTAACATTTTACTTAGAGTATGCATATTTATCCTTTATTTGTCAAAATTTCGAGCTTCAAATATCGGGCTGATTAAAATGACGTCTATTTGGAAATTCACATGTCTTTGATATATGTGAATACATATTTGGTTATGTTCTCATCGTGTACTCATCAATTCTGAAATAAGGGCCATAATTTTGTTCTTAAATTTCAATGTAGATTAAAATGATATTCTGAAAAATATATATCCTGCACTAAGTCTACTAACTATAAAAAAAATGTATAAAATCAACAAGCGGATATTGGTGGCGATATCCTCCGGTTATTCATTTTGCCAATAGATATCAAATTTATTTTTAATGTTATTACTAAATGTAGGAGTCTGGCATAAAGTTTGAAGAAATGAGTATGAAATAGTACGTTACTTTAAATTGTACACACTCGCCTAATAAATTGCATTAACGATTTACGGTAGCATACCATGAGCATGTAGTAATTTAGGATGGGCTTACAATTGATTCTCATGAGAAATCATGGCCTCCTTAGTTCATTTCATATAGCTAGTTGAAAAAAAATGAGTATCAGACAACCAACATCTTTTATATAAGCCTGTGTTACGTAAAATATAATCTTCGTAATACTCATACTAAAATCACATCGTACATTTTTTCATTAGCATGTAGAGACCGCACATAAAATGAAGATACAACGTAAAATAACTCAAACAATTTATTATCGCTCTCTAATAATAGGCCTTCAATAATAGTCCGTAATTGCAATTAAACAGTTTCAGAATTAGATAACGTGGAAGTGCACAACCTTTCACGTGGATCAACACACCCCGGAAGTGTTGCAAATCCAAGGTAAGTATGAGCTCACTCTGGCGTAGACGAAGGGAAACTCAGAACAGCTTGCATACGCCCAAGATGCTAAGCCCGCCAACACCGAGCTGCCATTTTCTCTACAAATCAACGGTCCTCCACTATCCCCCTGAATTCATAAAGATGGCACCACTGTACATGTAGTTTAGCTTAATCTTTTGCACTGCTGCGATCTTTTAAAGAAGATAATATTAAAACATGTTTTATGCACAAACAATTTAATATGCGACCTTTCAGAGATTTTCATATCTTGCGAACAACACATTTCATTGTTTTTTTTATATAACCTTGCATTGATTTTATTATCCGTGAACTGAAACCTAGGATCCCAGTTGAAATTGATTGAAGTTGAAATTTCTTAATAGCTGAAAATGCTTACATAATAGATGTCACCCTTGCTTGTCTTTGATTTTCTAGGGCCAGACCTCCACTCACTTTAATGCTAGAAACTTGCAATAGTCACTTAATTTCATGATTTATCAAAAAGTGTTGGTTGAATCTGTCTGAAACTCGAATGGAATTCTATTGGATGGCCTTGCCAATGTACATATTGTGATTAAACATGAACATATTGGTTGTCATACAAATAAATCAAGGTTTTAATGAATTTCAGCAATGCACCAATGGAGATTTGGCCCAAGTTTTTTTAAATGTCATGGAAAATGATTTAAATGACAAAACTGTGTAAATCAAAGCTTTAATGGGGAAAAATTGTCACTGAATCCAAATATGCTATCAAAAATAAAGAAAAGTAATTCATTAGAGTAAAAAAGTGCAAATCTCTTAAAATCTCATGTAAAAACGAGAATTAGCGAGATTTGAAAGCTATTTAGAAACTCCTCTATTGATGGGGTTTTTCGTATAGTTAGAGTATCGTGGTTGTTTTGTAATTGGTGACATCATCCTTTTTGTGACGGCGGTCGGTGATTTGTGTTAAGGCGCTCGGCGGTTGGTGTTGCTGTAACAATGGCAGGTGGTGACATTTGGCATGTAAAAGTGTCTTTTAATGCCATTTGTCAATTCTTTTGTTTTCTTAAGCTTTTTGTGCTGGGGAGAAGAAATTCCCATGTTGGCTTACCTGGCAGGGGCCTGTATCTCCGATCCCTACACATATGTGATACTCGTCCCTGATATCAATGCCCGTCCACCCAACTTGACACTGGGCTCCCGTGAGGACCACGTCGCTGGTCTCTCTGAGGCCTCCCGAAGGAGAACCACCTGGGAGGAAAAGTACAGCTGGTATGGCAATATTTGAACATATCATTCTCTCGTAAGTAGGCCTACATTAACGATAATAACGAATCGTTTCGAGCAACGGCCTCCAGATGAATATTTAAAATATTGAAAATGAATAAGAATAAAGACGTTTAATTTATTTTAAAGGCTACTTTTTGGTCATTTTTCTGGTTCGCTTGCATACTATTCATGTCCACCTTATCTCTCAACCAGAATGTTTGAACAAATGTATGATATTAATCGGAAGATAAATGCCGTTTCCCTCAACTTCTCCTATTTACTTTCAGTGACACCCCATCCTGTCATGGTACATATCAGACCAGCAAAATTTGAATTTCCACTGGGTAGAGGTAACGCCTGGACACGTGTATCCATAGTAAATGGCTCAACACGAAGCAGACTGATGTCATTGGGGTAGCCACTCGCCTGGTTGTCCACGTAGTCAGGATGCTTGAAGAAGATGAACCTGATGTAAAGAGGATAAGTTCGTCTATAACTTTTGGACTATTCCCCTTTTTGATGCTCAGATATAAATATTGAAATAATCGAGAAATCGAGCGCCAGGCACAAAATACGATAGCTATACAATAATGCAATTAAAGGCTCTGCCTCAAGGCGCCAAATAGTGGGCCTTTTTGGCCTTTTCTAAAATTTCAGGCCAAATTTTGAAGAAAATGGGCCTCAAAATTTCGAAATTTTTTGAAGTTTTTTATCAGACTTGAAAATTTGGCCCCCCCCCCTTGTTGGTTCCCAGATCCACCCCTGAGCAGCATCTTGCTTCATCAAGCTTCGGAACTATCCTCAGAACGTAGTGATTGAGCGTGGGAACCGACGATGCCTGAGCAGTACGATGTAGATTTTCAGAAGCTATGACCGCCATACGGCCGCCGCAGAGGAAATGTGACTGAAGCTTAACATAACAACATCCAAGTAGAACTATGAACTAGGGCCCATCAATATTACCTGATGTATTTCTCTGATAGCTCCAAGCTGACCATCACCTGTAACATTGTGAACGCCTGCAAGGACTCTGTAGTACCCAAGAGTCCTATAATTCGGAAACATACAGTGAGAATAGAGAAGTATTAATGACTGTACTCTGACTAGGAATAAAATAATATACCTATGGTAGTTATACAAAATAATGAACATATAAACGTGATGGATTGAGGAAATACGAATATAATTATGAATGACAAATCAATGTTACTTCCACTTGTCCCATCGAGTCCTACGAAGTCCCATTGCATCTCATTGACTGTGTCCCATGGAACCCAATCGAGTCCCACAGTGCCCTATCAAAAGTTTAGAAAGCTTTAACCGCTGCTTGCCATTTTGATCCAACACGTTGCTCGAAGTTACCTTCACGTGATCAAAAGTCTCAATGGGACTCCGTGGGATTTTGCCCAATGAAGCGCCATCGTGTACCATCGATGGGTTCATGAGGCAAATCCCACAAAGTCCCATAGGACAGAACCCCATTAAGTCCCACGAGGTCTCATTCAATGGTCTATGAATGGGTTCCCCACTGTGCCCCATTTGTGTATTTATCCTGACTTGTAGGTCTTATAGGTCAACTTTAACGAGTGTTTACCCTTTGCATTCGTTCGACTTCGCTTCTCAAAGGAGAGCTTCGTCTTTAGTATTCTTTAATGCGGGGAAGAAAAGGAAGGGTATACTGTCACTAGATGGACAGCGTTAACCAGAAAATATATTAATTACATGTCAATTGTACAATGCGCTGCTGTAAGAACCCATTCACTGCTAATGATTACTCCTCCACAGATGTGAGCATATCCGAATGCGCCATACCGCTGGAGGGACGCTTGGTAGGGATGTGCCCCTGGGACGGACACTCTACCATTAATGATTTGGAGTTTTGCACATATACTTTGATCAACTGAAAACAGCATAATTCCATGTTATTCTAGAGTAAGAATATCGAGGCTGTCGCAACTATTTTGCGTTCGATACATATTTCGACAGCCTTTGATCATTATTTCGACAGCCTTTGATCATCCATTATTTTTGTTTTGACAAATTAACACAAAAATGGACACGTATATCATATACCATCCGAACTGGCACATGCAGCATTTTTATTTTGATTCACACAATATTTCAGAAATTAATGTCTAGAAATAAAGACATTGGACGGTGAAGTGTCCACCTAGAACTAATTATACATGTATCTTACCGAATGAAATCAGCAACTGCATGAAAACGAGCGCCTTCATGGTATCGTTCACCTATTCACGGTGGTTATCAGAAACGTACTAGAGAATCAACATATGTTAAAATGATTTTTTGTGTATTTTACCGCAGGAACTAGGCCAATAGAAATATGTCAGACGTGATATCAAATGTAATGATGTCAAATGTAATGACGCTGTTTGCAAGCGTAACTAAGTCGATAAAAGAAGGTAAGGTCTACTAAAGGGTTCTGAATCATTCTGAGTAATCCCAATTATTTTATTCACAATAAAATCATACGTAACTTGTATCATCATTTGATTCTGGAATAAACCTAAATTTCTCACAAAGAATGGGGTAAAAAATCATTTTTACAATTCAATTTCAGAATGTAGGCCTACATGTATTTTTGATAATTTGATCAGTCTTAGATAGTAACATTTAATAGGATATATCACCAATGGTCGTTTCAAATTACATATCATATATTATATTTGGTGATTGAATTATTTCTTAATTAATTGACATGACATTTTCAACTGCTATATGTGTGAAATATGTGAGATAAACACAAGGTCGAGTATTTGTATTTCATTTAATACATTTTTATTTCGTTCAGCACACTCCAGATACGCTGCATACCCAGGCTCTGTATGTGCTGACTCTGGTGTATACAAACGGATAATCAGCACAACTAACGTGGCCCCATGAAGCTAATCCAGCCAGGACAAAATTATTCTCACTACACACCAAAGGCCCACCATCATCACCCTGGTGAATGGAAACAGATAACTGATACAGACAAGTTTGGTAAAATAGCAAGAAGAATGTTGAGGCAGGAAGTTAGATAGAACAAAATTCATCCATATTCGAAGATATTATTATTGTATATTGTAACACTAATCTAGTCTGGCTACAAGTCCTTGTGACCCAGTTGTTAGAGTAGATAGTCCAGGATCTTGAAGCAAGACTAACACTAATCCTGCAAACGGTAATCGCTCTGGGTGGTAGTTAACCAATTTATGAACGACATGATAAGGGGACTGAGGGTGGACGGAACTAGCCAGAAGTTAACTTAACATTGGCTTGTGCGATAATAGATTGTCTCGGCTAATCATATCAATCATGGATAACAACTTGTTCCAGTACCTGGCATGGTCCTCTGTCTCCTAATCCAACACATACGTGGTATTCATCGTCGATCGCTTGATTGAGCCAAATCGCATCGCAGTCCATACCGGACAGGACGATATCGGATGCCTCCCTGAGTCTCTCTGATTCCCACCCACCTGAAGAGTGAGCGTATACAAAATATGAAAGTTTTGATGACTCGTTCCCGGGAGTAATTTGCCTTGAATGATCATGTTTGGTTACGTGCTTTATTGTATAGGGATCATTTTATTAATCAAAAAATATATTTGAAATGACTTACTTCATGAACGTCAAAATATAATCTACGAATTTGCAAAAGTACAGATAGAATAATGTTAGATATCCCAATGCTCAATTCACAAGCTGGACGAACCTGCCTACTGTTATGTATGAAAACAACAAGAAATACTAAACAAGGCATTAACATGCAAATTGTCACCACTTGCCATTTGTTACAGACGTTGAACGCCAACCGCCGTCCACAAAAAAAGTTGGAGACTGTAACAATATGTCACCTCTTCTGGTGGTGACATAAAAATCGAAAATGTTTAGTGGTATTTGGACAATAACTTACTCTCCGTAACACCCCATCCAGTCATAGTACAAGTGCTACCAACAAAGTTCGTTATCCCAGAAGCCAGAGGGATAACTCCAACTGCCGCGTTCAGCGTCAGAGGAGAAATTTGCAAAAGACTGATGTCATTTGGGTAGCCCATTGAAGGGTCATTAACAAAGTCTGGGTGCTGAAAGGAAGCGTATAAAGGTATCTTTGAAGGTGATCAATACAGTACACACAAGCATGACAAGCATTACATATAAATATGATATAATCGTTGTCTGTTGTCCGTTATCACATAAACGTACCTCGTGTATTCCCCTAACAGTGACAAGTTGCCCATTGTTGTCTGTGATCACATCAACACCTGCAAGAATCCGGAAGTCGCCGGTTGTTCTGAAAATAACGTGGGAGATACAGATATAACCGTTTGTCGCAAAATTCGCATTACTTGTCTAAAACGATGAGAGACACTTATAGCACATTAGAATCCATTATCGAATTGCAATGTAATCTATCAAAAACATGCAACATGGTTTTGATGATTGGAGGTGCAATCTTTTACAAAATATGTTTTCTATGTTACGCGGTAAACATGATATAAAAATATGTCATATTCCGCAACGAATATGGCATATTCACTTGCGGTGTATGACAGATTTACCTGCGGTAAATGGCACACACACTTAGTCACTAACTGAGGACGTGATACGGAAGTACGCAATTGTCAATTTGGATCGTTTGAACGAACAAGTAAAACTTTATAAATTATTATAATGATTACTGAATCAACAGTATACAATTGTTGACCTCGCCAGAGGTCAACCGGCAAAATTGTATACCGAGACTGTAAACCGAGAAACTACTGTTGACAGAGACCGAACAAGTAAATCAAGCCACTCTGAGTATACGTACGAGCCAACTGTACAATGGGCCGCTGTGAGAACCCATTCACTGTTGATGATCACCACTCCACACGAATGAGCGAACCCCCCAGAACCAAACCTCTGAAGGGACGCCTGGTAAGGATATGCCCCATTAGTAACAGGTTCACCACCAACTATTCGCTTGTGTGGGTTAGCGCAACTGTACCCAACTGAAATGAACGAGTCCACGTCAACATATTACGCCCTAAAAATGCGGTAAGGTAGTCTGAAAAATTATTCTGCGTTACAATGGATCTGCTGATGGGTTTAACACAATGACGATTTCAGAAACAAAAAGAACTATACTTCAATTAAACACTGAAAGGAATATTTCTTGTATGATGCACAAGGGCTTGTCTGGAGGGTCGGGCAAGCCCTCGGATGAGTGTGTACTTCTTATTAAGAATGCTTATACTCTTAATAAGAAGTACACACTCATCGGAGGGCTTGCCCGACCCTCCAGACAAGCCCCTGTGGTATGATGTATCAATTTAAAGATTACTTACCTACAGAAAGGAAAAGAACAATAACATTTATTTTCATAGTGATTTAATTATATCAAACAAAATACTTAATGGTCTAAAATGTGTTTTTCTTATATGTCACATATATCCTTTATCAAGGCGTTTATATTTGAACGCCAGGGAATCATAAAGTACTGTGTGTATTCAATGATATTCAAGAAAATAACCATATGTTTTTTTATTTATGACAACTATATACCTGTCATATTTTTCTTTATCTATAACCGTCATATATGCATGTTCTATTGTTTTTATACACACATCATAATTAAGAGGCGCGTTTGTCATACAGATGTAAGTGGGAGTTGGCATAAGGTGAACTGTTCAATCATAAAGTTGAAATGACTTATGATTTTAATGGTTATTTACGTCTTGTTTTGATGTTCACTTCACATAGTATCATTTTTATACATGTTCTCGTGGCCTATGGTGGGTAGGGTCTTACCAAAATGAATCAGGCCTGATTAGAAATACAATGTAATGCTTTACTTCAGTCTAGCGAATATTAACTTTAAATGTGTTTCATCACAATAACATTGCATTGATGGTTATTGAGTACATGGGAGTATTTTAAATAACCATGATTGAAAAGTGTGGGTCACTAGTATCCAAGATGCAGTGTTCATATCCTTCGTGCAGCATCTACCTGCGTTCATGTACAAATGTCAATATAACAGTTATATATATTATATATATGTGAATATATTTATTCATTTTCGACAATTAAATTCACATCAATGATTAAATTATGCAAAGTGAGATAAAAATACAGTCAAATTAGTATAGACTTGGTTTTGTTCAAAGAAGCAAACAATCCTAATATTAACATTACATCGCTTTATGATCAATATTTGCTTTTTTGTGACAACAAATCCACACTTCACATTCGATTGTTGTATATACAAAGTTTAACTGTTGAATTAACACTTCACAAAATTTGATTTTTGTTCATATATTTCACAAAAGAATTTGATTTTTGTATATATTACACAACATTAAAGCAATGTTTAGTAATATTCCACCAGCTAGAGGTGTACTAATATATAAATAATGTTTATTTTTATTAAATTAGAAGTGCAAATACTTTTGTCATTTCAAATTCATTAGATTCAAATATATAAAAATATAAATACTTTAAACAAGTGATTTGACAGCAGTGTGTCTAAAATATGGTGAAATATGGAATATTCAAGAAGTATATGCATAAGGAAAAGTACACAGTATTGTAATATTTTACAAAGTTAAAACCAAATACATGCAGTTGATGAACATTCTGTAAAAGTATGATAACCTAAATTCAGATCATTTATCTTCATTTTGTTACATTGAAAATATATAAAATATCCATGATAAAATAAATAAAGCTCTATTGCATTGAAGAGATACAGCCAACATCAGACACAGCTGAAATGAGATACATCTGACAATAGATACAGCTTGAATTACACACAGATGCACAGTACAGCTGTAACAATAGAGATTTCGCAAAGCAGTTATAGTTAGAAGTCCGCAACCGCATCTCATTTTAAATGAACTACTACACATAAATCTGGTGAATGCGTATTTTAATATGTTGGGCTAAATATGTTATTGATAATAAAACTGATTTTTCATAAGCAGCAGTCCTTCACTTAAATAAACACAAAATGTCTATATCTTACACTTATAATACATTATATTATCGTATGATCTGTAAAATGACGTCCTCTGATTGGTCAGTTCTTGTGCTGTACCAATCTGTATTGCTACTGAGATTGTCCCCATTGATCATCTCCATCGCAATACAGAAAATATTGGTACGGAGGGGATAATCTCAGTAGCAATACAGAGGATTACACAATAAAAACGTTATTGAATGATTTGAAATGCAATACAGGATATATTGTCTCGATATTCATTATTGGTACTCGACTTCGTCTCGTTCTAATACAGAATTTCTCGAGCAGAATATATCCTGTATTGGTCTTCAAATCATTCAATAACTTATAATATCAAACTTGGGGAATAGCAAGGACATGATGAAAGTAGACGAGGCAAATATAAATTTAGAAAGCAAATTTAAGTTAAGGGGTACATTAGACTATGTTAGACTTATTTTTTCTTCAGTTTTAAATGACAATTGTTATAATTATATTTTTCTATAACATTTGATGAGACAGTTGCCTTGCTATGCCTTCTAACGCAACATTCTTTTTAAACTATTATTAATCGGTTGATATCTTGAGAAAACACCAACATATCTTTTAAAAAGAAAAACAAAAAATGATGAAGTTTTTGTAAATGGTCGTCATGGCAAACACAATAACTAGAGCATACAAAAAACCACACTGCAGGATATAATATGTTAATTAGGGATGGGACAGAAGAAAATAACTGTATTGACAACATAAATGGAACAATAAACGAAAGTATGTGTTTTGAGTGTATTGAGTGTTGATACAGACACCAAGTACCATAGAACCGAAGAGTTTCAAGCAAATGTTCCATCACTTTAATTGAGCATGTCATTGCAATATATAAAACTTTTCGGATTTAATCTATGTACATTATGAATAAAATCTTAAATTATTTAAATTATATATCATAAATTATTCAATCATCGCATTTATATGAAATTCAGAAAGGATAAAAAACAATAAACTTTCTGAATTAAAGATACCGAGTTTGATGATGTAGAATTCAATATAAAAACATCAGCAACTCACAAAGCTTGCATTTTATTACAAACATTATATGACATATAAGCCTACAATTCACACATGGCTTAAAGTCTACCATTCACACATGGCCTAAAATCTACTATTCACACACGGCTTAAAGTCTACCATTCACACATGGCCTAAAATCTACTATTCACACACGGCTTAAAGTCTACCATTCACACATGGCCTAAAATCTACTTTTCACACATGTCTTAAAGTCTACCATTCACACATGGCCTAAAATATACTATTCACACATGGCTTAAAGTCTACCATTCACACATGGCCCAAAATCTACTATTCACACATGGCTTAAAGTCTACCATTCACACATGGCCTAAAATCTACTATTCACACGTGGCTTAAAGTCTACCATTCACACATGGCCTAAAATCTACTATTCACAAATGGCTTAAAGTCTACCATTCACACATGGCCTAAAATATTCTCACATGGCAAAAAGTCTACAATATACTTAGATGCAAGTAGAAATAATCTTGATTTATTTCATTAAATACTCAAAATTTAGTTAAAGGGATATCAAATATGAAGTCTACATGTAATGTTGCATCTAGAAAATTTGGTTTAAAGAGTATTTACCAACTTTACCAATTTAATCTTTTTTGAAAATGTGACTTCTATGTCAGGGAGATTCGCCATAGACCCCATGTTAAATCACAAAAAGTGAAATATCTTTTCTTGTGTTGGGCAGATAATATTTTCTTTTACTGGACATATTTTTGTTTGTATAATTATCAGAAACATAAGGATTATGTGAAAATTGATCCACTTTAACTGATAATATTCAAGTTTAAGGGAACTTTCTTGTATACCTGCCATGTTAATAAACACAAATCAGCCAGGCATAAAGTCTACTATTCAAACATGACATTAATTCTACAATCGAAACAGGGTATAAGGTCTAATTTTCAAACCTGGCATAAAGTCTACAATTCAAACATGGAAAAGTTGACTATTCACACTAAAAAGGGAGACAAACAGTCTCAGTCTCAGTAAGTATTCATAGACAATGAAACATTTTGCATTAATGTTTCAAAAAAAGCTATTCTATAATTTAAAGCTGTTCTCATAATCCTTTCAAATGATTGTACAATAATATTGTACGTAAAAAATCCTGGTGAAAATACATCCCAAGGTATATTGCCAAATATGAATCATGACCTTTAAACACAAGTCAGCCAACAAGAAGCTATTTTGTGTTATGATATTTTGCATTCTGCCTCTATTTTTCAACAGTTTTAATATGGTTGCATTTTGAGAGAGTTGAGTCAAAATGTCATTCATTACATCAGTTTTTTTTTCACTGACCCATTAAACTTTATATATTTCTGTACAATTCTGTTTGTGTGATGACACATAGAAATAATTAAATATAAAATACAATATATTTTCTATTATATACAACACTGCCCTTATGTAAAAGAACTAGAAGAGTGTAAAATATGAGAAACAATCCTCTCAAAAATCATACCAATATTTCCCTTACAATCTTAATTTTATTTTCTGAAAAATAATTGAGAAACACGATCAATTATGAAAGTTATTGATGAATTAAGGTACAAAAATATCTGTATTCATCAAAATTGAAAAGAAGATGTCAAATCTTTTAATTTAATCCTGATTCAATGAAATAAATTCAGAACTTCTTGGACTTGGGACCTTTCAATTAAAAAGACATGGCAATGGCTAATGAGAGCAAAAATACATTTACAATGTACATTGTATTATAAAATTGCGACAATTTTTTAACATTAAATTCTCAACTTGTCTCTATCCCTTCGAATTCCTTTAAACCGAGAGCACCAAAATATGAATATATAAGTTCAAAATACATACATATACCTGGTACATGTAAGTAGTGACTCAAATACTGTTATGTGGGATAAATATGGTGGTCATGATTGTCTCTTCAACAGTATGGTGCATAAACAACATTCACACGATTATGGGGTCTCCCATCTAAAGGGACTTAAAGGAAAAATCCAAATCCATATTACATCTGTACTATTTGGTTTAAATATCGCCAAATTTTAAGTGTAGAAAATCTCCCATGACCATCAACATAATATCCTATTGACAAAATATCCTTTTGACTTTTTCTTGTCATATAAATATAAAATAAATGTTATCACAGACGAATTGATATTGTATTGCCATCCATGAAGATATTATCCATGGTAACTATAGCAACTGAATCATCTTAAGGTGTATCATCAGCATTTCTATCAATATCACACCTGCTTCCCGTAAGCTGATAAAACACCCCAATATTATTGTGTTCACCATTTCCATGGTTACTGTCATCTTGTTCAATATCATCATGGTTACTATTGCCAGGAATACAATCACCATACTTAAATGTAACTATCACCATAGCAGCTGATATTAATGTTTATGTTTCAACAGTCACTGTTCCATGACTGTTTCATCATGGGTATTAATATTAGTATTTAGCACTGTTGCCAAGGTGATCATCATCAGTGCAGCTATCACCAATGGCATTTCCATCAACGTGAATATCACAGGGGGTGGAAGCAACTGTTGAAAGAGCGGTGATGTCAGTGCACACACTCTCGGATGGAGTGACACCTATATTACTGCAAGTAAGGTCATTACTTTGGCTTTGGAATGGTGGTGTGGTCCTAACTGTGACATCATCAGTTTGCTCAACAGCTAACTTCTTTGTGATGTTCATTTTACGTCTACAGCATAAATAACAAAGCCCAACGCATGAAATCGAGAGAAACTTTAGAGCTACAGCCATCCCGAATGTGGCATAAGGGAGTTGGTCTGTGTTATATTCAAGACATGATCCAGGCCCATCACAGGTATTCTCCCTTAGGAGACACTGGGAGTCAAACAACTTACCAAAGTATATGGGAGCTGGGATGAATGCTGAAATATAACAAACATCAGTTATTACTTTCAATTCAGTAACACAAAGATAAATGGATAATGATAAAATGGGTTGGACCCATCTAGATTTTTCAGTTTTTGTCAGTTTTTGACATTCCACTAGTATAGATATTTCTTCAATATGTGGTGCTTGATTTGGGAATTTTACGAGGCACCAATCCTTTCTTCATTTACTTTAATACGTAATTTGTGAAGATTGAATTCAAGTTATAGCAATCAAGTAGAAACTTCTTTGACATATTATCTCCTAACTCTATGTCTATGGACTCTTCGGTCAATCCTGTGTGATTTAGAATGTGAATATACAGAACCACATGCACTAGAGAAATATAAATTCAATAACAGACAGAACCCACAATATAGACAGGTACAGGGTGGTCCAAAAAAATGGGACACTCATATTTCAAAAATAAACATTGATTTTATTGACGAAAACATGTCATATTACATACCAGCGGATGGGGAATTTAATTATCTTTAATTTATATAAGTACAAAATACTACAATCTTGCAAATTAAGGAGTCTATTTCCTGAATGATTAAATTCATTCAAGGATATTGGGGGTCAATAAGTATTAAATGCCTGTTTATCATGTCTCAATATTTGTAGAACACCCTGTATCAAGTTAATGTATGGCAAGAGATCCTAACTCACCCAAGCCTCGTAGCAAGAAGAACTGCAAACCAAGAGCTAGGGATCGATCATTCTCTGGCACTGACCTGTAAATCAACAAACTTCAATTAAAACTATGTTGCTAATTTTTTAACACTCACCTGTCGATTGTTAATGCTTTAACTTTCACCAGGCCCGTAGCCAGGGGGGGGGGGTTCGATGGGTTCGAGCGAACTCCCCCCTGTCCAAAAAATCTTTCAAAATCATGCAGTTTTTCACCATTCTGAGCACTTTGTAAGTGATTTTGGCCATTTTTGGACCAAAATTGTCACAAGTGAACCCCCCTGAACCCCCATTGGCAAATCCTGGCTATGGGCCTGGTCACCTATCTGTTTTAAATCTTTTAACCCTCATTTGTATGTTATTACAACACATATTTAAGTTTTTCAATAATTGAATTGCTATCTGTATGTTGTTGAATGATTTAGCCTGATGTTTTAACCTGTAGCTACCTGAGTGTGATCAGCAAGGAGGGAGTTTGGCCACAGCATGTGATGAAAATGATGATGAATAATATCGCTAGGAATGGTATAAGATTATAGCAGCCATTGTCACATCTCCCTGAGCTAGCAATAGACTCTTTGTGGATGATATCTTTGTAAATACAGCCACACGAAGAGTAGTTCTGCAAAACACATCTTAAATTATTTAATATAGTTACAGAAAAGTAGAATTCTTTAAAAGGGGCTAGTCTTAAATCAGGGACAATTTTGGTACCACTTGATACTTGTACATTAGAAGGTGCTTGATACTTGTACATTAGAAGGTGTTATGATGATGTTAACGATGGACACTGTTACAGATGCCACAAAAATGTTGGAGACTATAAAAACATGCACAGAAATAGATGCAGACAGGATTTGAGAACTTTATTTCAAAATGGATGATAAAAAATAAAAATTGACTTGAATTTTCCTCATTAAAAGTGAGAATCTGCCATTGCCAACATGAAATCCCAAAGTTGTAGATGATACCAGAGGTGAGAGGTGTTGTTCAGATAGATGGATAAACCAAAGCTATAGGCCTACAATGGTAGGGACATAAACCAACCTTAACTGTAGAACCCTCATCATTAAGGTAGGTGCGTAGACTAGTACAGCCAGCATGACAAGGACTGAAGTATGTTTTCTGGTCTGTGCCACACACTGGCTGGTAGTACATATCACTGCATTCACAGAGCTGGTTACAATTTGATGTGAGATTCTCACGATATGTGACAATTTCTTGAACTTTTTGCACTGTTCTGAAATACCAAAATTGTAACTAAAAATCGGCAATTCCAATGAGAAGCAAATCCCAACGAACGCTATATTCACGGATCTGTATATTCCACAATGTAATATGTACCATCTACTCCACCATTGATTGGCCGATATAAAAAGACATACATTAGAGATTTTTCAGAATTTCTAATTAAAAAGGCACAAATTACAAAAAGACAATACAATATTAAACAACACCCTTACACATTACATATATTACAAGAACACAGCTCAATTTTTTCACAATTTTTTTATTTTTCAATTTTTTCTTATTTTTTCAATTTTTTTTTTCGAAGCGGGAAGATATGCCCTGGAGCAGGAGATATGGTGGGAGATATGGAGGTTCAAGATATGAAAACCTCAAAATCATGATAGGGTATATATCTTACCAACTTATCTCCCTAAAACTCGACTTGGCAAAGGATAAATTGTACTATGTCATAAACAGGTCTATTTATGCAGAAAACAAACTAATACCTGAGTGGTTCATATGGAATAGTAACACCAGCAAGCTGTATACTATTACATCCAAGGAAGAATAGGACAATCAGCGAGACGACAGGGACAAATGAGATAGAACCCAGCAGCTGTATCATCCCAAGAAGATCTAACCGGAGACGTTTAAGGGCATATCCTCCTGTTACCACGCCAGCACAGGCTCCTGGGATTATTACAGAACCTAAAAGACATGGAATCGTTATTGGATGTTTAAGAAGAACATTCACAAATTAATGCACATGTGAAAAATACATCTATTTATCAAGAATATAAAGTTATATAAAAGTAACATATAGTGATGCAAACATGAACTCAACATCGTAAATACACTGAATGGTCTATCTTTGCATTCATACCATGGTCTGAGCAACATCAGGTTGAAAACAACATATCGGTATGGTACTGGAATTAGTGGGATGATATTGGCTTTGATATCCATATCATCCCACTAATTCTTACATGATCCCGAGTATATATTTCCATTCCCATATTTTCATATTCACGCCATCTATTAAAATTAATCTATTGTTTTCTCATCCAGCAGATGATTTTCAGGTAGATGTTGCTCTTGACCATGGTATAAGGTCATTATTTCCCTTGGTCACTGCATTCCCTCGGTAAATATTGATATCATCCTTGTCATATTCCCCATATCAAATCCCACCTGGTGAATAACTTCTTTATACAAACCTGTAATGATGTTAGCTTGAGAGACCTGAATCCAGAAGGTAACTTGAAGGTATTTTGCCATGAAGACTACAAAGCCAGCAATGATGGACTGCTCCATGACAATACAAAGACTGATAAACAACCAGGTTCCATTCATAAACATTCTCTTGGTCCTTCCAGGAATTTCTGTAATGCAAATGTACGAAGTTAATTTGATATACGGTCACAACAAATGTTTCAATTGGGTATATGCATACAATTCATACAGTCTGCACTGTCCATATATTACAAATTTCATACAATAAATAGACTAATCTAGGAAAGATTGGAGATAAACTCTCAAGCATTCAGCCTAAATAAATAGGCAAATTAGGTTAGCATAAATTCTATCTACTAAAAAATAAGTATTGCCTTACTCTGAAGGTATTTTAAACATATACCAAAAGATGATCACTTATGAATTTCAATGTTTCTGAACATAACATAACACAAATGGAAATGCCAAATTCCTGTCACAAAAATGGAAGCTACTACAATATTCAATAATAACAAGATCTTGGTGGTGACGTGATAAATAAAATAACTATTCATACTGTACACCCCCAAAATCCCATCTGATTTTCGATGCTGTTTCAGTGCAAAATTTCGCCACCAAATGGACTAACTAGCCCGGTGGCAAATTTTGGTGTTGAAAGGTTTCGGTGCCGGAACGGTGTCGAAACGGTGCCGGAACAGCGCCGATTTTTTTTGATGCCGAAACGGCGCCGAATTATATTGGCTGTGTACCTTTCAAACTGCTCCCAAAGCCTATCATCTGTGGAGCCTCACATTCTGCACCATCCTCATCTTGCACATCCAGTTTCCTTGGAAACAATAACAATGGCAAAGCTGATACAGCAGCTAATGTGCTACAGAATAGTGTACCACCCCACCATGCACCAACCCATTTGGGGTCAGATTCTGTGAGATCGCCTGGATTGGACTGAGGATCTACGTAGAATGAGAGAAATACAGCTCCTAGTAGAAACCCCAATGCAGGACCATGTGATGCCATTGCATACATAATGCCTGAAAATAATCATTACATGTTATGAGAATGTTTATGGAATTACCCTTTGGTTGTGGGGCAGGCCCGTAGCCAGAATTTTCCAAGGGGGGGTTCACTTTTCCAAAAAATTCTAGGGGGGTTCACTTTGGCAAATTTGGCCAAAAAATCCTCAAAAAATAGTCAGAATGGTGAAAAACTGCCCGAACCCCCCGAACCCCCCCTGGCTACGAGCCTGTGGGGGTTAATGTGCCTGAAGATTTAAATGATGTTATGAGAGTATATAAAATCCTCTGGTGGTGGAAAATATGCCAGAAGATTTGAATGATGTTATGAGGGTATAATACATGATATAACCCTTTGATTATGTAATTAAAAATGTCTGACACAACAATATACACTGCTGACTTGCTTTAAGATCTTTGCAATTAATAAAGATTGCAGAATCATGCTTGGAAAACATCACTTGTGTTTATTACATCCATAATTTAGTTTAACAATGACAATCATAGCATCAGTTAATCTAAAGCCTGGATAATTAGGAATGGAGTCAAGAAATCAATTTTCAGATGCATAAGTTAATCTAGTTCATTATATCAGGATTTGTTATTTGAGATATCTCCTAGAGGAGAATTAGGGAGATGTACTGTGTGTTTATTAGAGAGAATAAGCATGTGCTATGAATATTTTCAGCAGGTACCGATTCACTTTAATATCCAAAGCCCCATCCTTCAAGTGGTTTTCTTTGAGCACAATTGATTTATTTGATATATTGGCTGATGATATGAATTACTCAATTCATTAACTCAAACCTTTCACATACATGCTCTCAAATGCATCTCATGCATGAACTAAAAACAAAACTATAATTCTTTGACCTCTTTATATGTAATTCATCAAAAATGCTAGAAAATTCCTTATAAAAGCATCTGAAAAGTTGCCATTCCCGATGCTCTCATTCCTTCAATCAATGTTTTGGGCCACCATGTTTAAAATATCGTACCTGCATAAACAGAGTATAATTTCTTTTTGCAGTTGTCATAGAGATATGTTGATCCCAGCGTGTAAAGTGGAGATGCACCAAGACCAATGATCATCTGTGCAATCATGAATGTTGCCAGTGCCCACGTGTCCATCGATGTCACCTCAATATCACAATCACCACCACGATTTAATGTATTATTACATAGATTCCTATTAAGCAGATTTGTCTGATTTGATTGGTCAACATAATTGTATGTTCCACCAAAGAAAAATGGAAGTGTGAAAACAAACCCTCCAAAAGCCATGATGAGTAATCCATAGCCAATCCATCTTGATCGATTAAAATGTTCGCCAAAATGGCCAACTAATACGACAGCAATTATGCTAGTGAATTCATAGCTACTGACGATCAATCCAGATCTACTACTCCACAAGTTATAACGTCGTTCAATGGTGGTGATAATGCTACTTGTGTATCCAGAAACCAAGATTGACTGAGTCAGGACGGCAGCTGATATACATGCAAGAAAACATTTTGGCCTCGCTAAAGCCTGTAACCAATCAGGACTCTTCCCATAAAATCCACATCTTTCCGGTTCCTGCTCAGTCTCTGTGTCAGTGGTTGCCTGACTTGTTGCTGTGGTAACTGCCGTTGTTGTGTTCTCGTCATTAACATTCTCGATATGGATAGATGGCAGGTCAATACTTGGAGAATCAAAATGGCTGCTGATGTTAGGCAGTGTAAGATTTTCCCGTTTAGCAACTGACATGATGAGTTGCTTGATTTAATTTTCAAGGCATTTCTTGACTGCAGTTTTTAAGTAATCATCGGTTTCGCTTAACAGATATATGTCCAGCACTTACACATTAACTCCCAGCTCCTGGAAATAATTAAACAGGAAAGAACTATAAATGAACATGAAGTACTGAATTGTCCCTCCACCGCCCAAAAAACTCACATAATTTCAGAACTATTAATCAAAGATGGTATCCATAAGCTGCTGAAATGTCAATTATGTAATTTTTTCGGGTACATGTAGTGTAGGAAAAATTAGATATTTTTGAATAATAATATAAAATAATATGATCAAAGTAACAATAAATATAAAAGATAGACCAATAATTTAATATAAATGTTTGTTGTAAGATTATACATGATGGCATTGCCTACTATGTTATATCGAAGAACTAAGTCCTAAAACAGATCATAAACCCATAATAATTGTTGTTGAAAGGAAGGAAGGAATTTTGAAATCCTTTGTATTTACTCACTCAAAGTCAAATTGCAGCTAATTTAAAGACACAACATTTTGGTATAAGATAAAATGGTGCCAGTTGTGCCATAAGGGCAAATCTAAGAGACACTCAATGCAAATCAGATATCATTGAATGATCACAGATATCAACAATATTAGAATCAGACATCGGAAAAGTTTCACACTAAAAACAAAAAAGTTTATTAAAAACATGTTTTCCTTTTGATTATTGAAAAACATTCACTTGTCAAATTGTCATTAACACTCATTAATTGAAATAATTAGATGTTTTCATGATTATGATAAAAGGGATACAATATTGGGAAACATTGAAATCATTCAACCTGCAATTTTAATATTTGCATGTTATAGTGTAAGTGAACTGAACTTGATCTAATTGATTGAATGATGCATTAATATTTTTTCAAATGCAATTAGTAGATTAATAGTCCATACAATAATCAGTACTATAGCACGACATTGCTCAACAATTTAAAAAAAATTATGATTTCTCGGTATCAGATATTTCTAGGATTTGTTCTCGTAATGCAGACTATGTTGTTAACTGGATTGGTTTTATATAGCAGTTTGCCCAATATGGTTATAAGGGCAGTAAATAATGTCACCCATGGAGATCATAATATGGGATATAAAGAACAAAGTCACGTTGAAGACACACATAAAACTATTAATGAGGCTATTAACAACATTAAGGACACCTCTAAGCATATAATTAGTATCAACAAGACTATGATAAAGAATCTAAGAGAACTGGAATTGCATTTGATTAATATACAGTCAATGAAACATCGAAATTTGAATCGTAAGTTTCTTACCATTTTTACAACATTTTCAGAAAGGGAACCTTCTCGTTTCCCAATCCAGAACAATACAATATGTAACTATAACAACTTTCCAAAAAATACAACAAATATAGCTATCTTTTCAAGTAAGCACTTTAAACTACCAGTAAAAGATGGAGCTTGCATCTCTGGAAATAAACCTGTATTTAATTCAAACTGGAGAATCATTGAATTGATGGCAAATATGACAGCAGGAAGCAGACCTGTTCTTCGTCAAATGTTCCTTGAGTCCCAGAGACGTTTCAACACAGACCTTTACATGTATTCCAATGGAGATATCCTGTTCCACATAGGAAAACTAATCACATCCCTACAAGCAATTCAAAACTTCACAAAACTTCACAAAATCGAAAGTTATATAGTATTTGGACTGAGACTTGAGGCCAACTTTTCTAAGCAAGATAAACATATCAAATCTGGCTCAGAGGAGGAGATTACCCAGCATTCTATAGGTGCAAAAATGGGTAAGGATAATGCCCAGGATTATTTCATCACAAGCAGGACTAGTTTCCCTTGGTGCTCAGTACCAGATTTTGTGGTCAGTTTGCCTGCATATGACAACTGGTTGCTAATGTATAGCAACAAGGCTCGGATAGCAACATTTGATATTACAGAAACAACTCTAGCTTTGCACCAAGCTGGACCAAAGAAACTCAAAGATAAAATCTATTTGAATGCCGACAAAAATAATAACATGTTGTGGAAGGAGTCTGTTATATCACATAAGGGTGCAACTGTGAAATGCTGTAAATGGAAGACAGTATACAAGGACAATAAGATTGATATAGTGAAGAACCCAAAATTCAATAAAGAATGTATTGCACATTTAAAAATTCCAGTGATAAACATATTGGATGAGACAAAAGCAAAATGATCGCAAATATATATATGTGCAAACAACAAATTAAGTCAATCTTGTGCATTGTCACCACCAAATGTCACCACCTGCCATTTGTTACAGACCACAAACCGCCAAACACCATCCACAACTAAGTTAAGACTATAACAATATATCACCACTTGTGACTTAAAAACTGTCTGAAGAGTGCAATAGAACTATCCTGAAAATATTATGGTCATTTGACCAATTTGCATCTCTCTCAACTCATGTTAGCTTGGGGCCAAGAAAGGGTCTCAGAATGCTGATTTGGCATTTACCCTCTAGAAAGGAATTTTTCATGATGTTGTAGAATTACCTCTCCTAGCATAAGTATAAAAGGATGTTCATCTACCTTATTCCAGTACTTCCCCACTTCTAGTATGTATTTTCTCAAGTGGTGAATTATTCAGCTGTGTCTTGTTATAAATCAAAGAATTCATTAGGGCTATGTCAGCATAACCTTGCCGATTTATCATTATCATCATTCTATTTTTCTAGGAAAGAACAAGAAGTTCTAAACTAATAAATGTAGTACACACACTAGGCAGGTAGTTTTGCGCAATAGTACATGTAGCAGGAAGGTTAAGTTCAATGTAATATAAATACTAGAAAAACAGCAACTCCACGGAGTAGCAAGTCCCACCGAACAAAACATATTATTCTTATTATAGCTCGTGTAAATGTTGACATGTTTGTGCACTTTGTGATAGAAGCATGACATTTGGCACAAAGTTAGTTTATACCATTGTGAACTAGGCATCATCATATAAAATTTGAACCATATCCGTTCACTGATATATGAGTTATCAAAGATTACGTTTTTTACGAAAATTGGCCGCCATCTTGACATTCAGCCGCCATCTTGAAAATTATTTCTTGAACAGAGCTACTGTGTCCCTAGGCATCATCATATAAAATTTCAACCAAATCTGCTCTCTGGTATTTGAGTTATCAAAGATTATATATTTTTACGAAAAATGGCCACCATTTTGAAATTAAAAACTCCTTTGTCCCTAGGCATCAGCATATAAAATTTGAACCAAATCTGTCAACTATTTGAGTTATCAACGATTACATTTTTTACGAAAAATGGTGGCCATTTCGAATTGAGCGGCCATATTGAAAATTCCTTCTCGAGCAGAGGTCCTACGTTTTTTACGAAAAATTGCCGCCATTTTGAAATTCAGCGGCCATCTTGAAATTTTTTGTCGAACATAGCTACTGTGTCCCTAAGCATCATCATATAAAATTTGAACCAAATCCGTTCACTGGTATTTGAGTTATCAAAGATTATATATTTTTACGAAAAATGGCCACCATTTTGAAATTAAAAACTCCTTTGTCCCTAGGCATCAGCATATAAAATTTGAACCAAATCTGTCAACTATTTGAGTTATCAACGATTACATTTTTTACGAAAAATGGTGGCCATTTCGAATTGAGCGGCCATATTGAAAATTCCTTCTCGAGCAGAGGTCCTACACTCATAAGGCATAAGCCTATAAAATTTGAACCAAATCCGTCAACCGGTATTGGAGTTATAGCCCGGACACACGGACAAACGGACGGACGAACGGACGGCTTCTCTATATCCCCCTCGAACTTCGTTGCAAAAGTTGTTAATTTCATTGTTTATCAAATATTTTCTATTGGATCAATCTAAAACTCTGATTGTCCAAACTAGTTGATATCATTGAAATTCAGAATGTGATTTACTTAAAAATTTTGATTATATTGAGCAAATCAACATAGAGGAACAAAGATTTTTAACATTGTGTCAATGAGGAAACTCAAAAGACCAAGTTTAGTAGGCATTTAATAGGCAAATAAAGTTTAGTGCAGTTGTATATTTAGTAAGCAAGTAAAGTTTAGTGAAATAGTATATATTAGACAGGTAAAGTTTAGTGCAATAGCATATTTAGTAAGCAAGTACAGTGTAGTGCAATAGTATATATTAGACAGGTAGAACTTAGTGCAATAGCATATTTAGTAAACAAGTAAAGTTTTGTGTAATAGTAAATATTAAACAGGTAAAGTTAAGTGCAATAGTATATTTAGTAAGCACGTAAAGTTTAGTGCAAAAGTATATATTAGACAGGTAAAGTTTAGTGCAATAGCATATTTAGTAAGCAAGTAAAGTTTAGTGTCATAGTATATATTAAACAGGTAAAGTTTAGTTCAATTCAAGTAAAGTTTAGTGCAATAGTGTATATTAGACAGGTAAAGTTTAATGCAATAGTATATTTAGTAAGCAAGTTAAGTTTAGTGCATAGTATATCTAGAAGGCATGTAAAATCTAGTGCAATAGTATATCTAGTAGACAGGTAAAGTTTAGTGCAATAGCATATCTAGTAGACGGGTAAAGTTTAGTACAATAGTATATCTAGAAGGCAGGTAAAGTTTAGTGCAATAGTATATATTAGACAGGTAAAGTTTAGGGCAATTGTATATTTAGTAAGCAAGCAAAGTTTAGTGCAATAGTATATATTAGACAGGTAAAGCTTAGTGCAATAGCATATTTATTAAGCAAGCAAAGTTTAGTGCAATAGTATATATTAGACAGGTAAAGTTTAGTGTAAAAGTATATTTATTAAGCAAGCAAAGTTTAGTGCAATAGTACCTGTATATATAGGAGGCAGGTAATGTCTGGTGCAATAGTATATCTAGTAGACAGGGAAAGTTTAATGCAGCAGTATATTTAGTATATTTTGCTGGCAGGTAAAGTTCAACGTATTAGTACATTTAGCAGGAAGTTCAGTGTATTGTTGTACTTTGTTCATTAGGAAATGTTTCCAAATCTCGAAGCTAACTTTGTTGATATTAACAAAATTTATCGTTTCTGTAAGAATAAGTAGTACCCCACACACAAATTAGTCACAAACTTTAAAACTCCCTTTCCCTTTATTGAATCATCATGAACTTAACATGGACAAACTAAAAGCAATTTCCAACACACTGTTTTTGATTCACTTGAATTTTAATTTTCAAATTTTCATAGACATTTAAGACGAAGCACTCATTTCACATTTTTTCATACTTTATACTATATTTCCGTCTATTTGGCTTTGTTTAAATTTTTTAAGAAGTACATGTACAGAAATTGAAAATTGAAACACTCGAGTGAACATTAACATCTGTAGCTTTTTAAGTAGTTGTCCAATAGATTACCGTTATATGAAGCTAAATTATAGTCTAACCAATGAAGTATACCATAGTTATAATGTTACATGTCAGTGATAAACACTACTTATATTAATTAATCATGTGAATAAAAGCAATAAAATAGCTGACTTTCTACATCATGAACTATCAAATGTTAATCAATGGAAAATCATTCATGTTTTCAGAGATAAACTTGTCCTATTATCAAATGAAATCACTAAAGTAGAATCATGAACTGAGTTATCTCCCCTTTAACCACTTAAGACTTCAATAAAACACAAATGAAATCACTTCTTTAACCTAAAAGTGCCCTATGTCTTATGTAACGAGATTCTGAGACATTAGAATGTAGCTTGTAAATTGATTGCAATGGCAATGGTTCTTGCATCATATAAGGGCACCCATTTAAGTAGGTATTTGGAAATAGCTTGAGGATCATAATATTTAATCCTGACTCTATTTTTTTCAAAATAAAAATAATTCATTTTAAATCTATAAAATGAAACTGACAAAAAATGCCAGGACAATTTACTGCTATAATACAGTCCAGTACACAGACCCCAATTTGAGCCATTTTCTGACACTGTTCATCAGACTGAATAGACGTTAAGGTCACATTACACCTTCATTGAATTATTGTCTGGAAACCTAAGAACAGAAAATTGTTGAATGATTGAATTATTCTGATTCCGTGGTTTACCATCCCGAGACTTATGTAACAAGATTGTTGCATCCGATAGCCAACAGCCATTAATTGCATTCGTGAATACAAGCTTATTTCAGTAAAAATACTTATTACATGAATAAAGGCTGACATTTCAGACACATTTCGTAAAGAGCTGTGTTTTAGCAGTAGATATATTAATCTGATTGCCATATGTAAAGGGAAATAAATATGGAAATGACATCAATCATTTAAAACATGTCAAGTTTTGCAGATATGTAAGGAACGGGAGAGAGTGGGTAAAAAATGTTGTCAATTCCTCATTATGCAAAGACCCGGGGCAAAGACTAGGGCAGATTTCACTTGACTGCCAATGTATAGATGCCAAGACCAGGGCAAATATACAGGGCATATTACATCAGACTGTCACAGCCTTATTAGGCCACTAAAACCTGTAAATATGTTACATTGATTTTAATAAATAAAAAAATAAATAAAAGTAAATAAATAAAAAATAGTATAGTATAGTGACACAAGCATCATGCAGCTTTCTTGCAAATACAACCCTTCTTGTAACACTATACCCTTGAGGTTCTTTACAATGCAAAGGAAAATGAATTCAATGATTTTGGTAGAAGAAAAATAACTCCCTCTTCTTTTTAATAACTGAGGTTCTTTACTAAATTGGCCAGTATTGATCCTTCAACTACAGACCTCTGGGGAACCTGTCTTTCAAGTGTTAGCTTGAATCATTGGCTCTGACTCACAACTCACTGACTAGAAAGAGTATTGGATCAATTTACCAAATTAACAAGATGCCAAGATTTATTATTCGACCTGTTTTGAAACCCAACTTGCAAAATAAATTCATTAATGCCAGCAATATTTTCTTCATTATTTTAGGACTTATTTATGCAAGCAATTAATATTCGTATCTCTAATCTTACGTTTCATGCAACATTAAGCAAACTATATCGATATCAATTATAGCAAATATGCCATGATGATAATGGATTATTGTTTCTAATGGAAATGATGGAAGGACCACTATATCTCAACAATGTGACTATTTTATACTCTATCAGAAAATTAAAACCATCTCATGGCAGATTCATGTTCTACTATCAAAGACAGAAATGTTTTTCTACGTGTACGTATGTGTTCAAGTTCAGACTATATCTTTTCTCAATATTCCAGGTCAGAATGTTCTTTTACTGGTCATAATATTTTACCGTTTGCCATTAAAAGACAATCAATGAAAGGTTCCCAAAATAAAATTGTTTTCAAAAGAAATAGTTAACAGAAGAATTTACAATGATTCTTATTGAGATTCAAGTATAAAATCATCTGGAAATTTTGAACAATAGGCTTTCCTTCGCTTTCATTCTGAATACCTTAACATGCATCATCATACTCTAAATGCCTTAACATGCATTATCCTACGCTGACTATCTTGCATGCATTATCATACTCTGAATACTGTAACATATATTGTCCTACTCTAAATACCGTAACATGCATTATTATCATACTCTGAATACCTTAACATGCATTGTCCTACTCTAAATACCATAACATGCATTATTATCATACTCTGAATACCTTAACATGCATTATCACACTCTGAAATACCTTAACATGCATTGTCCTACTCTGAATAACGTAACATGCATTATTATCATACTCTGAATACCTTAACATGCATTGTCCTACTCTAAATACCATAACATGCATTATTATCATACTCTGAATACCTTAACATGCATTATCACACTCTGAAATACCTTAACATGCATTGTCCTACTCTGAATAACGTAACATGCATTATTATCATACTCTGGATACCTTAACATGCATTGTCCTACTCTGAATACCATAACATGCATTATTATCATACTCTGAATACCTTAACATGCATTATCACACTCTGAAATACCTTAACATGCATTGTCCTACTCTGAATAACGTAACATGCATTATTATCATACTCTGAATACCTTAACATGCATTGTCCTACTCTAAATACCATAACATGCATTATTATCATACTCTGAATACCTTAACATGCATTATCACACTCTGAAATACCTTAACATGCATTGTCCTACTCTGAATAACGTAACATGCATTATTATCATACTCTGGATACCTTAACATGCATTGTCTTACTCTAAATACCTTAACATGCATTATCACACTCTGAAATACCTTAACATGCATTGTCCTACTCTGAATAACGTAACATGCATTATTATCATACTCTGAATACCTTAACATGCATTGTCCTACTCTAAATACCATAACATGCATTATTATCATACTCTGAATACCTTAACATGCATTATCACACTCTGAAATACCTTAACATGCATTGTCCTACTCTGAATAACGTAACATGCATTATTATCATACTCTGGATACCTTAACATGCATTGTCTTACTCTAAATACCTTAACATGCATTATCATACTCTGAATATCTTAGCATACATTATCATATGCTGAATAGCTTAACATGCATTATCATACTCTGAATACCTTAATATACATTATCTTACTCTGAATACCTTAACATGCATTGTCCTACTCTGACTACCTTAACATGCATTATCATACTCTGACTACCTTAACATGCATTATCATCCTGTTCTGACTACCTTAGCATGCATTATCATACTCTGAATACCTTAACATGCATCATCATACTCTGAATACCTTTACAATTAACATGCATTATCTTACTTTGAATACCTTAACATGCACTGTCCTACTCTGAATACCTTAACATGCATTATCATATTCTGAATACCTTACTATGCATTATCATACTCTTACTAAATATCTTAACATGCATTATCCTACGCTGATTATCTTAACATAATTATCCTACTCTGACTACCTTAACATGAATCATCTTACTCTAACTACCTTAAAACGCATTGTTACACTCTGACTACCTTAACATGCATCATCTTACTCTAACTACCTTAAAACGCATTGTCACACTCTGACTACCTAAACATGCATTGTCTTACTCTGACTACCTTAACATACATTATCGTATTCTGAATACCTTAACATGCATCATCTTACTCTAACTACCTTAAAACGCATTGTCACACTCTGACTACCTTAATATGCATTGTCTTACTCTGACTACCTTAACATGCATTATCATACTCTAAATACCTTAATATGCATTATTATACTTTGACTATCTTAATGCTCTGATTATTGTATAGAGATTTTTAAGCTAAATTCAACATATTTGAATTTAACTATAAACAGGAAATCAAGTGGTGAACAATCTTGGGTAAAATCTGATTTTTCATGTGGCACCATGTATCATATCATTACTTCATTTACATGGCTTGATTTTGCATTGAGTGGTAATCGTATATATGTCAGTGATTCCATTACGGCGTCCTTCAATGGAGAGGACGTAAATCAAGATTGGGTGGACGCAAATTAAAAAAATAATTACGTTTTTGGTACGCAATTTGAATTTCATAAATCACTTCATGAATCCACTTAATAATTGAAGGAAATTCTATTTCTAAAAGAAATACAATTTTCTTTCGAAGTTTCCTTCCCGGAAGTTGATTTCTGATCGAAATAGTACGAGGCATGTGATAGGACAAATAGTTATCCAATACTCGATATCCGAGCAGTAATCAGTACGAGTCTTACGATTGGCCGCTAGCTGAAGACCTGATTTAAACCATTTTCTATTGGTCAAGTGCGATCACAAGATCATTATTTAAGAATGAGCATGCGCAAGAAACTGAACCCAAAAATTGAACCTTGCGCAGATTGCCCCTAAACTAAAGCAAAATCAGTAGCTAATTGCTTCGAAATATGCAAAGAAAATGTGTTTCTAATGGTTGAATATAAGTTATACCTCACAAGTGATGGTATCTGTATCATTCAATGACATACTAGACTCTCCAGCCAGAACACTGATTTAGACCAATAAATAGCAAATCCGATACAAAATTTCATCAATTTTATTTCGGTTAGTGTAAAAGCTTGACTTTGATTTCCCGGGAACATTTTTTCAAGGGATGCAATTTTGAGGGGAGACGCATTTTTTGAAAATCGTTACATCCCAGGGATGCAATCTTGGACAAACCTACTGAAAACACTGTATGTCATATCTCAAAGCATGTTTTTTACTCAAATAGTTTTTTTTCTATTTTTAAAGGTTGAATATGTCTATTTAAAAAAAATATAACTGATACATAGAAAATGCATTTTAGTCGCGTTTACATGTGTCACATTTTATTATATTTTATGGCATGATGTTTTTATGTTTGAGTAATTCATCCAACATCAACATCACTGTATACTGGTATAGCCTTGAACCACATCTGTGGAAATTGTGTCAGACTAATCATAACATTATATTAAGTTCTCAGAACAGTTTATATTCTAAGTATAATCTAAAATGGTAACAAATACTTTAATCAACAAATTAATTTAAAAGTAAAACATTGGCAAAATATAATTATAAATGACTTGAAACATATAGATGATCTGATTAAAATGTTTTCCCTATTGAAATCATTTTAAAATACTGAGTTCATAGTCACATTGACTTACCTTCCCAAATGCAGTAGCATTATTAGGCATGCAAAAAGCCAAAAACCTCATCTCCAGTTTTCTACTGGCCAGGTTGTACTATGGAACCACTAACAGTCAGACTGGAAATAAAAACATCCTGTTAAGAAATTTTTAGTATCTATATATATGAAGTGATTAAAATAGAAACTAACATACATAGTTCCGTTGCAGCAGCTTGCTTCACCTTTTGACCCATGATTATCTTTAGTCTCATCTTTTCCAAATGCTGTCCTTTTTATTATATTGTAAATGCCCTGATTTCCAACACCTGTGACTCATTTTTCAAATGTTGCCGCTTGTGTTATTCCTTGTTTAGATTTTGTCCCTTATTTTATAATCATTGTCTCTTTTTAAAAAATTGTCCTAATTTGATAGTTTTGTCTCCTAATTTGAAATGTTGCCTCTTGTTCCAAATATTGCCCCACCATTCAAATATTCTATCTTGTCTTCCTTATCACCTTGAATTCTCAATTTTTTCCATAATTTGAAACTTTGTTCCATGTTTTAAATGCTGATGCTTTATTTGAATTTATTTTGCATCTGATTTGAATTGGTCTAACATCTCAATTTGACTTGTCTTGCATCTTTAATTTGAAATTGCTTGTATCTTGGCTTTTATATCTGCCTATACAGGCCTGCCTAGTCTTCATCATCAGCCAACTACCTTCAATAGTCAGTCTATTGCAATAATATAATAGACTCATACAAGTGTAGAGCTTCTATGGGAATCTAAGATTTCCATTTGAGTCACAAAGTTGGTATCTAATATCAAAGTACCCATGGTTTAACAACAGCATACTTTTTATGGCTATTGGCTTCCTTTATTCTGACCTTTCTAAACAAGTGTTGACTACATGTCTGTATATTTTATTCCTCATCGATTCCACTCTTTTCCATGCTATTTTACATTTTCAAATATGAGTACTTTTTTTTATTTATTTTTATTTATTAAAATCAATGTAACATATTTATAGGTTTTAGAGGCTATGACCCTCAAGAGGGAGCATTAGGTGCCACATTATGGTATTTACAATGATTTGTTAAATACTTCATGGTACGTCTATTCCAGGAAGTCTCTGCTGCTTCATTATCTATTCTGTCTACATGAACCGTTATAGCACTAAGGGATTCGTACTAACTAAAGACCAGCGTTTTTTAATGAAATCTGCCCATGTATCATATTATCCTGCTATCCTCTATTGAATAATAATTCATACATGTGAACCCATCTCCTAGCAGGCACAACCTAAAAACAGTAAGTATATTATTACAAGGATGTGTCTATTTTAATCATATAAAGCGCAACAATATGACAATGTAGTGAGCCCATTCTTCATTCATCATTTGTATTTTGCTCAAGGGAAATCTTATGTCATGTTGAATTCACTTACTCTCACAGAGTATTCAGATTTCACTTAACTCACTCGTGTTTTATACTTTCCCATGATTAGACTAGAGTATAATGGAACTCTACATTTTGCTTTTAAGAATGCTGGGAAAGGCTTCTCAGCTTTCTCACCAGAATATTTTCTCACGTGGGTGCAAAATTCTCATTTTCACAATTCAGACAGAAATTGGTCAAAATATGCCTATTTTTCATGATTTTTCTCATTTTTAAGTTGCATATCATTTAACAAGAAACAAATGTGTTCAGTAATTTTATTCTTTGTGTAAAAATAAAAAAATAAATTGAGTAAAAGTTGATTTCACTCTTACCATGATACTTGTAAACAATACATGTAATACAAACTGATTGCAATGTTACCATGTCATTCATAATTTGCAAACAGTGCAAGGAAGCAGTATGAAGTAATTGTGAAAACGTGCTTTACAACTCATCGACTGCCCGTTACTTTGACATTCATCAACAAAAACTGTCAAAGAGGCATCCATGGAACATCCACAACATAAACATGGTTCACAGTATTGATCACAATGTTAACAAACTAGTCAGTAGTGGAAATGACAACATCAATCAACAGTAATCATGAGAAAATCAAATTAAATTACTGGATTCCACTCCAGGAAGTGAGCTTCAGAATTTGGCAAGATGTCTGCATGATTAATTTGTATTCTCCATGTTTTTTATATCAAATTGCAGATTTTTTATTGTGTTTAGTTTGAAGGTGAAATCACTACTGGAATTTCAATGGTTCTTTTTGGTTCTCTCATGTTATATAAGATATTAAATCACTTGTTAAAATTCAGTAAACATTTCAGCTCAGTTTAATGGTATGGTGGCCTGTTGTCATTATAGTATGCTTAATAATATACATGTATTTGAGATTATATTTTTCAGTTTTTAATGAAACACTGTAAAATGTTTGATTCACTTATAATTAATAAATTGAATATACCTCTTAGGTGTTGAGCGTTTTGCAGATTTAATTGTTTGCATTGAACAACATTTTAATATTCAGCCTCAGGGCTGCAGGGATGCATTAGATAACATTTTAATATTTAGCCTCAGTGATGTTTGTAGATTGATTTAATAATGAATATATTTTCAACGATATTGATACAATACCAAGCTATCATATACATGTTGCTCCTGACCAAGTTTGAACAAAATTCACAAAGGAATAATTTTTTTAGATAAAACGGTAGAGAACTTTTGGATCAACCCTCGTATATGTTTTGTTTGAATTGATTGTTTGGCATGACAATGGGAATAAGGTGCTACAATAAAGTGTTTCATCATTTATAAAGGTATAGTATTTCATTTCTAATATTCATGAATAACAATAAATTCACCTGCACTTATACTGTAGAACAACAAAATTGTAATAATAAGCATGGAAACATCACCTGATGGTACACAATGCGCTTTATCACATCTAGAATTGCCATGTGCAACTAGTGAGGGATGTTACATTTTTCAATTCTACTGCTAATATTTGATCAAAGAGATATCTACAGTAGAAATGCTTGATTTACAAGCAAATAATTATTTGAAGTCTTCCTACCTCTAAATTGTCTTATCAAGCCTCAAACCTAACATATTCCAAACATACAGATAAAGAATCACTGGCGGATCTGGGGGGGGGGGGGGATTTTGGGCCAAAAAAGGCCTAAGGCCCCAAAAAGTGGGGCTCTTTGGTTATTACTTGGCCTTTTAAGGCCCTATTTTTTAATTTCATGCCAAAATTTGAAGACAATGGGCCTCAAAATTTCGAAATTTGGGCCCACTTTGGGGTTTAGGGCCCCAAAATTATTGCTGAAGTTTTTTCTCTGACCTGAAATTTGGCCCCCCTCCTTATCGGTTCCCAGATCCGCCCCTGGGAATCTACAAGTTTCCAATACTCTTAGGTAGATTTGCATCTGCATGATTGGACTGTTAAGTAATTCTCATGGTTATTCCACAGATCAATTTAAGGGGTAATGTTTTTACATTTTATGAGGACATTTACACAACTATGGTATATACTTTTAAAACAGTTCAAAACTGTCTTATGTGAAGTATTATGTTAAATCAACAAATATATTTGTTTTAATTTCGTCGTATGATTTCACAATGATATGAAACATTTTTTATTGGATGAGCAAAATTTCAAGTACATGTAGATAATTCAGAAATGTAACATAACATTTTAAAGGCAAGTTCTGGAGTCACCTTTAGATAATGTTTTGAGTGTTCAAAGCAACATATATACATACATCTGGCATCTGGTAGATTCATATCTTGAGACACTTTAGTAGACAACCTTAGTATACAAACATGCTAGCTGAAAACCCACATACAAGTATTGTCAAGTCAACCTCCTTATACAGTTTAAGCTATGAGTTTCTAATATGGCCAATTTGAAATATTAATTCATTGCTACTAAATGATACTTAATATTAATTAAGTTGAAGTAATAATTGGCTTATATGTAGAAAATATTCAGATGTGAGGATGCAGGTGTTATTGAATTTTAAAAAGTGTAGACATCTGCAATATTCAATTGATACATCAGAGACAGAGAGTTACAGTGAATTGAAATGAATTAAGAAAGTATTTTATGAAATATAAAAGTTGAACTACTGCAAAAAGACGTTAATGGATAGGAAGAAAGTAAATTACATTTATACCTCACAAATTCTCAGTCTTCTGATACCAGCTTAAAAAATAAAAGGTAAGATACATGTACATCTAATTTAGTTTAATTATTGTTTTGTATACAAATACTTAATCATGTACTATACATAGATGGTCTGGTGTGTGAACTGTGTGCAACTTTAATTGAGCTCCAACATAGTAACAATGACCTCCATTGAGCCCAAAATGGTGACCTTGACCTTCAATAAACTGATAGGTTGACTTGACCTTCCATGAGTCAAGCAGGGTGACCTTGATCTACAACAGCCCCAATACGATGACCTCCACTTAGGTGAAGTTGACTGACCTCCTACAAAGTACAAACTCGAGAGATGGGCAAAAAGACATTGACCTTTTTTAGCCCAAATCGAGTAGCTTATAGTAATTGCCCTTCTATGATCCCAATGAGTCCTGAAATAATAAATTTCAAAACTGATCAGCCTTTTAATTGCAAAAATTAAAATTAGAATTCAAATTCACACTTTCAATCTCTGAATACTATAGCTTAGCCAATAAAAACACTGCTCTCCACTTCATATCAACTTTTAATTCAAAATCTAGCAAAAAGCGTGATTCATACAGCGTGCGCCACATGGGGAAACTGAACCTGTCAATTGAACCTCTAAATTAAACCTCTCGATCACTCATGTCTCATATTCTCCTACAAACCTGCAAAGCTCATTTTAGTCATATCCCCAAGTGATGGAAATTATAATCATAATCCAGACAGGCCTGTCATAAATTACGTCAATATAGCATGCAAACTTTGGGGGAATGGCCCGTGGGAAAGTCTACATGACATCATGAATAGAATGATTGGCAACCTGGAAAGACAGGTAACTTATATGGGGTCCAGAAAACTGGGCATGTAAGATATGACAGCAATGCTATGCAATGTTGATGTGGAAAAGCTTTTCACTCTCTGTGTGCAATTTTCATTGTGATTTAAAATGGTAAAACAACAACATGCATAATCACAACCTTGTAAAGTGACTGTTGCTTAATCTTGTATCAAGACCATCTTTTTGTATGAGATAATCTGTTGCAATTGAATTTCTAAGCTAGCTGTGAACCAATGGGTCATGTTGGGACATCAAGGGAGTTATTGAGTAAAATATTTTCATGGGACAATAAGGGACAAGTTTGGACATTCCAATGGGATATCTATAGAGTATAGACATCGTCCCTTGTTGTCTCTTTATGTCCCTGGGACATTGTTCAATTTTATCCCTTTATGTTCCATGAGAAGAATGAACATTTTGATTATTTTCGAAGGCCATTACCGGACAAATGAAAGCCATTTATCATGTGGTGATCATATATTTTCTGACAAACTGGTGCTACATTCCAGACATCATCAGACAAAATGGGACTGAGTGGGACATTGACCCATGATGTCAGGGCCGGGGAACAAGAGTGGATAAGCTGGGACAAACAGAAAAAGTCGGACAATGTCCTATTGGTGTACGGCTAGCTTTAGACTTTACTTTTATTCATTATATTCCTCTAATTTTGCATCCATTCATCTTTGAGTAGAAGATCAACAGCCATGACCACTGACGATGTGGGTTCAACTACTGTAGGGCTATCCAGGACTATGACTATAGTCCTGGCACGGGATAACTGTAGGGTATGGAAATAACCAAACCCGTCTGGCCCAGTTATCTACTCTTGACGTCGTAGATCTGGGCCAGACAAGGTCCAATGCTAAAAAGGGGGGATTTACTCCGGAAAAACATGTCGCTGAATCATCACTTATTCAGTACTGTCAACCCCCAAAGATTTTCTAGCGGGACAGATTTTTTAGACCCAGTTCCAAAAATTCACGGGATTTTGCGGGACATCCACCTAAATTCGCGGGATTTCGCGGGACATTTAAGGGATTTGCGTGATTGCGCTAAAAGGTCAAATTTTGATCAAATTCGCGGGATTTCGCGGGACCATTCGAGGGACAAACACGCTACTTGCGGGACAATTAACAGGGTAACCACCAAAGACTTCAGAGAGGGATAATTTTTCGAGACAAAGTGCCCTAAATTCGCGGGATTTTGCGGGACATCAACCTTTTGCGGGATGTCGCAGGACATTCAAGGGATTTTTAATGTAAAAGTACTCTTGAATCAAACTTTCAGATACTGATTTATCAAATATAATGCACTTAACTTAAGTAAACGTCAACACAATTCCACACAATTCCACACAATACGCATAGAACTATTATTAAACTATCAAAAACCACGCTTTAGGTGTGAGTACCGTAATCCGACACGAAATTTAAAAATTCTTGTGAATACTTTGCACTTATGGCGTTCGTGACCAACTATGAAACATTTACCCCCATAGTGTTATATATCAAAATGTACCTATTCGTATAGGGGTTCGATTATTCTACATCAAATTATGGGGAGTCAGGTTTCTTTTCGAGATATCAGTGTCCATTTATTGGAACTCGCGTTTGCTAACATTTGTTCAGTTCTGAGATGAAGGCCGTGACACGCGTAGTAAAAAGGCCAACGTTGGAACTAATCGTGACATACATCCCCTTTTCCGTAATTAAAATGAAATTTGCACTCTTCCTCTTTATTTTGATACCAAACGGCATGCTAGAAGCCAACTATGGTGTTATTTGGATCAAAATCATAGTTTTATAAGTGTACTGTATGCTCCTTCCAAAAGCAGTCTTCGATGATCTGATGCACTGGGAGTTCGGCAGCACTTTTCAAATTAGGTAAACTTGACTCCTCAAAAGTGCAAAAAGCTTAGCTTCTTATATCACAATATAATCACAATTATTTAGCCTCGGGGATTGTTACAATTTTGAAAATTTGCGGAGGTCAAAGCCATCATTTGCGGGACATTGCGGGACACGCGAATAAGCCAAATTTTGGTCAAATTTGCGGGATAATCCCGCCATTCGCGGGACACTTGACAGCTCTGCTTATTATTCATTCCCTATTAGCCATCCAACCAAAACATCGGGTACCATGTAAACCCAAGTATTTATTTGAAATAAAGAGAACATAACTTACGCGTAAATGTGGTGTTTTGTTTGTTATATTGATGTTGAAATGGGCACAACATTTCGTCAATATTTCGTCAGTTCTCCGCACCGAATAAAGTCACGTGATGTGACGTAACACAAGTGTGACGCGATAATTTTTAAACTTTCATGGAACGAAAATACATTTCCCGGGAATCAATACATTCCAAATATTACGATTTGTTCAGCAGATTTGTTATCAAAATGTAGATTACTTTATAAAACAGACGTGTCTGTGTTGTATTTAAACTGGAAAGTTCACCCCCGAAACAACCCAAGATTGCGTTTCGGAGCGAAGTCCAGCTTTAAATATGATTTTTCAATTTGTTGAACTGACGGAATGTAGTACTGAACGAAATAAGCAGCCGAGACTTCTCGATATTCTACAAGATCACGAACAGATTGCAGAAGAATTTTTCTTTTTGCTGCGTTTAGACGTTTCATTCTTATTTATTAGCCGTCATCCAGCGATGGAAACCTAATGTAAATACAAAGTTTGATACAAGGAACAAACACGTAAGTGATTTTTATGATGTTTATTCATTTATCAGCACGTATTATACATTGAAAATCCAGTGTGTTTTTTCCGGAGTAAATACCCCATTTTTTGCATTGGATCGAGTCTGGCCCAGATCTACGATATCGAGAGTAGATAACTGGGCCAGACGGGTTTGGTAAGTTTCGGAGAGTGACTGGTCTTCTTGTAAACCCTGAACTTAGTTTTCGATAAATCTACATGAAAATGTAATATAGCGTAGGATGTAAGTTCACAATCCCTACACTTATCCCGTGCCAGTTGTATGTATACAGTATGCTAATCAAGTTGTGGCTTGCTTTAGACCCATGTTGAATAAAAAGTGAGGGTGATAATGTGTCAGAATGAATTATTTTATTTTTCCAAGAAATTGGAAATCAAAACAAACATTTTTGGCTTTGGTTTTTAGCATATTTAGTACAATTTACACTAATTTACAGATTATTTTTACATCTTTCATGACCATAAATCATATCTGTATAAATATGTATATTTTAGGACACCTAGGTACATAAGATAATGCGCAATTTGTGCAATATATGCGAATATTACTTACCAAATCGTTTCTGTATGTCGCTTTACTTTTTCGTTTCACTAGCCTAACCGGATGTTGTCAGTTTTAGAGATAACCCTGAAAAACACCTGCATTTCAAGAATATTAGCGGAATATTAGCCTAATAATTCCAGTTGTGGTGATGGGATATCGATATACTTAATAAAACTGAGGCAAACTATAACATATCTCAGTTTGAAACCGCATAGTTGACTGAGAAACATAGGATAGCTATAAAATCGCACGGACAATAAATTTTGCAAAACTTTTTTTTTATTTCTTATTTTTTCAATAGACTAGACCTAGACTAGGCCTAGACATCTAGATCTAGAATAGACTAATTTCTGATTTTGTATTGTGAGTAACAAAGAGTACAGCAAGTAGAGAGAGTATAAAGTGACAAAAAAGCACCTCAAAGGATATGAACTATGTATAAGACAATTCAGAGACATTTACATGTACATTTGTATATGTAATCATGCCGGATGTATTGAGATTGGAATGGAATATTACAATTCTCAGGAGAGATTAATTAATTGAATTAGACTATTGTTATGGAAACAATCCTGCAAATAAATGATGGCGACTGATAGAGATAATGATACCATCGATCCAGTATCTGAAGTTAGACACCAGGTATAGCATTTAATCGTCGATTAAAGCAAGCATCATGTATCTTCATTAGTGTTGTCGCGATTAATCGAAACATCGCGATATACATCGCCAAAGCTGATTCTGGCGATGCACCGATATCTGAAACAAAACATAGATGTTTTTAAAAAAATTTAATTTGGTAAAAATCACCCTTTCTTATCTTATTTTGACGCAAATCGCTTACCTTTCTCATGTCTTATTTCATTTTCCAATGTTTTCTGATATTCTTTCGCTTTAAAACTGTTTTAGCCAGTCGAAATGAACCATTAATCTAAAAAAAATTTACTTTACTTTCATTTCCCGTTACTAGAAGTTCCCGGATGTACAATTAAGCTTACTCTTATTAATTATGTTCTGTTCAGTATTTTAGTGCATTAGCGTTCGGTATTTCAGTGCACTTTTCTCTGACTTTTTCTCGATGTACATCGTGATGTGCATCAATGTTTTACTGAAAATTGCCGATGTACGATTATGGCACATCGCGACAACACTAATCTTCATGGGTTTGAATATTGTGTGCTATTCCCATTCCCATTGTTTACTTATATGTTGAAGTGAAAGATACAATACATGCGATATAGATCCACATGCAAAAGATTTCCTTTTTCGGCAAATAATAATATGGTATAATCTTTTGTAGATTTGAGACACAAGATTGTATATAGTGAAATAAAAGTTATCGAATTTCCAAGGCTCTAGGTAGAAATAAAGTGAATAATCAGGAAACTAAATAAAAAACTGAAATACTAGCAACCTATATACTGATATGGGAAATAAATTGATTTTATTTTCAGGGAGACGGTGAAAGCTCTAGGGAATATATAATTGTGGAGAGTCGATCTGATCCATACAGAGTGAAGCCTTTCTCGGTCAATATGGAGGTTGATCTTATGCAATTGAATCTTTTCATCGTTGCTTTGGTGTCAAGATTCTGGATGATAGAGCATCCTAAAGCAGTAGTGTAAGTTGATGGTGTTAATTATTTTCTCTTTAGATTCTATTAATTGATTTTTAATGCATATATGTCCATTCATTGTTGTGGATTGGCCTTGCAAAGGATACAATGTATTTTGTATCCAAAAAGGAACATGAATTTTACATAGTTATGTTTTACCTCTTTTAAAAAACAATTCAACATTGCATCGTTGAATCTTAAAATCTGATGTTATAAAGAACTTTAAAAATTTGGATTCAAACTATTTTATAGGTTTGATGAACTACATTTTAATCGTTTTGCTGGGATGTATATGAACAGAGTATTTTTCTTTGATGTCCATCCTCCACTTGGCAAATTGCTTATTGCTGGCTGCGCTTATCTAGCAGGTTTTGATGGACTCTTTAAGTTTGAGAAAATAGGACAAGGTTTGTGTATTAGAATATAAGCTAATTTTACTATAGGATGTATATAAATGTGATCTATACAAATATAATATCATTATTGTATTCAGATTCAATGAAACTTTAAAAACATTGGCATACATCGTTTCTAAAACATTTTAGTGAGTAATTGGAATATATGATTTAATCTTGTCATTTTCCTAGAATGCCTTTTCTTTTCACATTTGCTTTTCCTGTTACATTGACTTTTTGCACAACTCTGCTTCACCTAAAATGTTTTCTGATAAATGGCTTAATTCCACCGAACGAAGTGTGTCCGGGCAATAACTCAAATACCGGTTGACGGATTTCACTCAAATTTTATAGGCTTTAAATGTCTAATGGGTGTAGGACCTCCGCTCAAGAAGGAATTTTCAAAATGGCCACTAAATTCAAAATGGCGGCCATTTTTCCGAAAAAATATGATCTTTGATAACTTCAATACTAGTGAATGGATTTGATTCAAATTTTATATGCTGTTGCCTGGGTACGAAAGAGCCTTGCTCAAGAAGACATTTTCAAGATGGCCGCCATATTCCAAAATCCATATTCCAACATTACTTTGATAACTCAAATACCATTGAATGGATTTGGTTTAAATTTTACATGCTGATGCCTAGGAACATAGGAGCTCTGCTCGAGAAGGAATTTTTAAGATGGCAGCTAAATTTCAAAATGGCCGCCATTTTTTATAAAAGAACGTAACCTTTGATAACTCAAATACCAGTTGATGGATTTGGTTCAAATTATATATGCTGATGCCTAGAGACAAAGAAGTTCTGCTCAAGAAGACATTTTCAAGATGGCCTCTGAATTTCAAAATGGCCACCATGGTAATCATTGATAACTCAAATACCTGATTTGGATTAAATTCTATATGCTGATGCCTTGGGACATAGGACCTCTGCTAAAGAAGAAATCTAAAGATGACAGCTGAATTTCAAAATCGCAACCATGTTTCATAAAAACATAATCTTTAATAATTTAAATACCAGTGGATGGATTTGGCTCAAAATATTATATGGCTGCTATTTATGCAAAACATGTTTTGTTCGGTGGAATTTGCTACTCTGTGGAGTTGCTGTTTTTCTAGTATTACATTGTGATACTCTTACAAAATGTGATTTTTCATCTATTCAATATTAAGTCAAGCATTATATACATAATCTTAATTCTTTTCAGAGTATATGTCAAATGTCCCAATCTGGCACTTGAGAGCTCTTCCTGCAATGTTAGGCAGTCTAACTGTCCCAGTGACATACCAGATCATAGTAGAGATGGGCCTCTCCAGATATGCAGCATCTTTGGCTGCCTTCCTCATCATATTTGGTTAGTTTGCCATGATCAAATATATCCTTTTCACTGGCGGATCCAGAAGCTAAAGAGGGCTGGGGGGGGGGGGGGCAATTTTGAGTCATGAAAAAGATTTTGCCCCCCTCCCCCCCCCCTGGATCTGCCAGTGCTTTTTGAACTGCCCAGTAATGTTAATGGCCATGTTTGATTAAAAAAGCCATGATTGATTCAGCTCAGAATACACTGATGAAAAGTTATGAAGTTTATATGTACATTACATGACGATGAAGGAGCATACAAGTAATGAAATTGATAACAAAATGAATAGATGTATCTTTATTTTCCAGACAATGCCATGCTTACTCAGTCAAGATTTGTCCTCATGGAAGGAATCCTTGTATTCTTCATATCAATCTCCATACTCTGTCTCTTGAAGTTCAGGAAACAGAATCAAAGGTTTGTGAAGTAGACATTTTTATACAGTGCCAGTTAAACATGTATTAGTGAACACCTCTCTCTAGTGAACACCCCATCTAATCCCATACTCCTCTTACTTCTGTATGAAATTGCCTCTATGTAGTGTAACACCTAATGTTAGCATATTTTGGTGATGGTTTCTTTGAGATTTTGAAAATTAACATTTATCTGGTAAACAGTTAATTTGTCTTGAAAGTATAAAAACCAAATATTACATTATTTTCTTTATAATCCAGTTTCAATCAGGAGGTGTTGATTCACTACAATGCGCCATTATTCCAAGGAATTCAAATGTTATTTTTATTTTGTATTGTTATTCCAGAGAACTCAGAATCTCATCTATGACTTGGCTCGCCTTATTAGGAATCTCTATAGCTGCCACAATGAGGTAAATATGCTTTGACAGAAAACATGATTTAATTAAATATTTGTCATAGATAGAATGTAGCTATATCATTGTTTGTCCCATTTACACCCTATGTACAAAAGAAAATATTCCACCATGATTGAGAAAGTTCCAAAAATGTAGATGAATTTTTGGGTCATCTTCATCCTTTATCCAGGTAAATCATCCTGATTTTTATAATGATTATAGTGTATTACAGGAAATGGTTTTTTGCCCAACCCACTTAAAGGAATAAAAGTTATTGAAAATCGTGTCTTTTCATGTATTTTTCAAACTCATTTATTAGTCTTAGACTATTGGTGTAATTTTAATTATTTATACTAAAATTACATATTATCTTGAAATTTCAAGGGTTCATAATCACTTCATAAAGTTCATAAAGGTCAAAGCAATTGATGTGTTAAATGCGGCTGTGTATAAAATGTCCATTACTTAATGATCACCCCTCGTACATACATTTAATATTTCAGTGTGAAGTATATTGGAGTATTCACTGGACTTCTGGCTCTTGGTGTTGTGCTTAGAGATAACTGGAGCCTGGTGTCTGACAAGTCACTCACTGAGGTAGGATATAGAATATAGATTTGGAAAATATCCCCAACACACCAAATAATGATCTGATATACATGAGTTCAGCATCTGTAACAAATGGCAGATGGTGACATCCTCCACAAAACAATTTTTATCTTATTGTATCTCATTTATTTTAATCAATAGTATTGATTGAATACATTGTATATTGTAATTGTAGAACGTGGCTAATAATGCTAAAAGCACAGCCACTCACACTGTATTTTTGTATTGTATTCTTTGTACAAATGAATAACTTAATAAAAAAAATTAAAAAAATGGTGACATTTGAATGTTAATGCTTTGTGTGTAGTTCTTTCCTGAATTGAATGTAACACACATTAACAAATTACTTTTCTAGAAAGATCTGCTGAAGCTGTGTAGTGCAAGAGCTGCATGCTTAATAATGCTACCATGTCTTCTGTATATGACTGTATTTGGCCTCCATCTTGGGATTCTAACGAAGGCAGGCCCACATGACGATATTATGACAAGTGCATTTCAAGCTAGTTTAGAGGTACCTCTATATTATATTTCAACGATGAAACCTACCTGTAAGAGCAGCATATGAAAGCCATGTTATTTGATGCTGTATCATATGAAGATGACATAATGCTTCATTTATGTATGACTTATAGAGTTGTATGGATAGATATATCATGATGGTATTAAACAGATAATATAAAGAGCTAAATCATAATACAGACTTCATTTGACTTTGTGTAAAATTGGAAATTCTTCCTTAAATCTTTAATTGCTAATTTTGAAACAATATTTTGTATAATTTACATTATTTATGTGATATTCATTTTTGAACAGTTACTCAGAATATGATATTTGATGCACAGTACACATTCATGTTTAGATCGTGATTCTTACGTTTCAAAGTCTCAATGAGCCTCAAATTCAAAATACCACCCTAACAATATACCAGTTCAAAAAATGTTATAAGTGAAGTAAATATCATGTGTCACATCCTATAATCTTGCTGTACATTTGATGTAGGGAGGACTAGCAGCCATTACAAAGGGACAGCCCCTAGAGATCTCCTATGGTTCCCAAGTGACCCTACGCAGTACCCACGGGAAGCCATGTTGGATTCATTCCCACAACCATGTCTATCCAGTTCGCTACTCTGACAATAGGGGGAGCAGTCATCAACAACAAGTGACATGTTACACTTTTAAAGATGTCAATAACTGGTGGATTGTAAAGCATCCAAGCAGGTTTGAAATATTTAGATAGATACCACTCGATGGCACAAAATGTTGCAATATGATGATCCAGCAAGAAACGAAATTTTTCACAGAAATAAAACAATAGTCTATGTACCATGGAACAATCCAGACACTGATGATTTCGTAGGGCAGATAACTATGTCAGGGGTAACTCAGCTAAAGTTTTATGTAATTTATGTAGGCTTACTTATTAATAATGCTATGTTTTTATTGTAGGAACTCACTGGTAGTGGATGAGCCAAGGGAACCTGTACAAGATGGAGACATTGTACAGTTAGTTCATGGCATGTCCAGTAGGGGCCTAAATAGGTAACTATGTCTTAGAGGAAGGTACAGTAAATAGTCATATAGTCTCATTATTGTTGCAATGAGGGCCTCGAATAATCATTTCCACTCCGGTGTCAATGATTACTTCTTTCTGAAGGCTGTTTTAAGCCATTATAGTCAGTGAACATAATTACAATAAATGTAGATGTAGGAATTATTAAATAAGCGAAATGGAGCAGTTTATGTAAAATAAATGTCAACAATATGATCTGAGAGATCTTTGTGTTAATTAGAATAATTAATTAACTGTTTTGTCAAAAAATTCATGCAATTTCCTTTAATCATTTTTAAACAATAAACACATCAAAAGACTTTTTTATTGTCTTGCTCAATTTTTCATAATCTACAGTAGTCGAGTCCAGTTTTCTTTGCAACTGCAGCATCACTAAAAAGGAGCATAATTTTCTATCACAATTGAAAAAAGGGTGAACAAACCAAAATGAGCAAAACAGTCAGGTCTGCGTACTTCGTGAAAATTATTCTAACTCTATGACTATTTTCTGCAGTCATGATGTGGCAGCACCTTTGACTCCCCAGTGTCAAGAGGTTAGCTGCTATATAGACTACAACATATCTACCCCTGCACAGAATCTCTGGAGAGTTGAGATTGTTAATGCAAACACTGAAGGAGAGGTGTGGCATACAATCAAGTCACATGTTAGGCTTATACATGTCAATACAACAGCTGCACTCAAGGTGAGTTAACTCATATGCATTTCAATACAACAGCTGCACTCAAGATGAGTTAAATCATACATGTCAATACCACAGCTGCACTCAAGGGGAGTTAACTCATATGCATGTCAATACCACAGCTGCACTCAAGGGGAGTTAACTCATATGCATGTCAATACCACAGCTGCACTCAAGGTGAGTAAACTCATATGCATGTCAATACCACAGCTGTACTCAAGGTGAGTTAACTCATACACGTCAATACCACAGCTGCACTCAAGGTGAGTTAACTCATATGCATGTCAAAACTACAGCTGCACTCAAGGGGAGTTAACTCATACATGTCAATACCACAGCTGCACTCAAGGGGAGTTAACTAATATGCATGTCAATACCACAGCTGCACTCAAGGTGAGTTAACTCATACATGTCAATACCACAGCTGCACTCAAGGTGAGTTAACTCATATGCATGTCAATACCACAGCTGCACCCAAGGTGAGTTAACTCATACATGTCAATACCACAGCTGCACTCAAGATGTGTTAAATCATATGCATTTCAATACAACAGCTGCACTCAAGATGAGTTAAATCATACATGTGAATACCACAGGAAATTGAGAATAATAAATAAATATGTTGATCTGTGTTTCAGTTAACTGGTCGTCAGCTGCCAGAATGGGGCTTCAACCAGTATGAGGTAGCTGCAGATAGGGACACTCACCAGGACCTCACTATCTGGAATGTAGAGGAGCATAGATATACAAGATGTAAGCAGATAAAATAGCCAATCTTACAAGCCTCAAAATCCCTTCAATGCTACCCCATCTACCTCACCTTTGGTGAGATAGTATGGGAGGGTTGACTTTATATCAGGACTAGATACTGGCAGGCATTCGCAAGTTACGCCAGTATCATATGTCATACTACATTGACTGGGTATTTCCATGAAATTCATTCAATTTTCCTTACTTGGGAAAATCAGGCATTACCTAAAAAATATTTGCAGATTTTGAACTCAACATTCATACTCTCGAAGTTAAATTACCTTTTATGTGCTGTTAAGTTTATAAATCAATAAATCAATGTTTTGAGGATGACTGCTTTTTAGTCATTAACAATGGTATGCCACCATTTTTCATGTTTTCATATGTTTTTTCATGTGATTCATAGTTGAGCTATGGTCAATGTTAAGTCTCAGTCATATTTGCTCTATGGTGGCTGTAGCCTCACAAAACAATATAGAAAAATCTACATTCTGCTTCCCCATATATTATGCTACTGTACATATTTTCCTTGGTTTTGCAAAGCCATTGGCCACCGTATAGTTGCCATAGATCAAATGTCATTATCCTGTAGTTTTAAGCTCACTTCACTTTATAGCACCTGATGAGGAGGGAGGCACTACAGAAATGACACAAGCAGAAATGATACCCTTACATCCAACGCAGCTTTCTTTCTGGCAGAAGTTTTTGGAGTTACAGGTACTGGTAATACTTTACATCAGTCTGGGAAAGATGTTAAACATAGTATCAAATCTAGAAAGCAGTCTTGAAATAATTGGCTCATATCATTCCTTGCCATGCATGTCTGTTTTCTAAAAACACCCTTTAAATGCATACATGTACTTTATTTGAGGAAAACTAGATTTTTGCAATAAAATATTCATTTTACTATCAAAGTTGCCACCACATTTATTATTTCGGAGAATTTAAAAAATATTTTCCCTTTTTTGCACTTTGGATCTTAAATAACTTCATAAAATATAGCAAATCTTTTGGGAGATATTATAATTGAGATTATAAGGAAATTATATTGTTAAGTCAGTTGTACATGTTGCTTGTAATATTGTCATCCCTTGTAGCTCTGATTCTGCCTTTAAGTTTGACAAGTGTGAAAAAGATCATCAACGTTTTTAAACTCCGCAAAAGAGAAAATATATCATATGTTGTAAGGTTAAAACAGAGTTAAATGTTTTCATAGGCAATAATTGTGTTAAAGTAAATATAAAGTTAATACTGTCATTATTCTTCATTTTTACTGCGATTTTCAATTGAAAAATTATCTAGCTGATATTTATTTCTGCACGTGCCTCACCTGACTCATGTGTAAATTCATTTGATGTTTAATCACAGCTTTTAGTATAAGAAACTCATAATTTTACATTCCATATTAAAGTATTTGTCTTCTGCAGGTTAAGATGTTAACATCCCAGCTCGATGCCCCTCAGGATCACAAGTACAGCTCAGAACCTACAGAATGGCCTCTCATGGACTACAATGTTGCATACTGGTTGGATAAAGATTCTAATGTAAGTATCACCTGTAGTATTGCTAATGATCCTTATATTAGTTTCAATGGAGTAAAACAGTCCACTGTGAGCATCGCTCGATGTGGTTATAAAACAAAAAAATAACTTTACTATGGAAGAATAAATATAGCTTTTCACAAAAAGGAATTTATAAGTTACTGCACCCCCGATGTCTAAACACCAAGTTTTGTTTAAAATGACCTCCATCTTAAATTAAATGACCTACATCATTAATTCAGCGTTCATTCTAAAACCTGCCAACTCATGATTATAGAGTTTTCTCTTGTGTTCTGGGGCAATTTGATAATTTCCTACATTTTTTTTATCTCATGTTGTCCCTATTTTAGTGCAATTTTATACTTGAGCCACTGATCTAATTACATTCTCTTTAATAGTTAAGACAACTTTTTTTTTATCTTTTTGCAGGCCCAGATTCATCTGATAGGCAACCCAGTTATCTGGTTTAGTTGTGTTCTTGGAGTGTTTTTCTATTTGGGCCTTATTGTTTTCTATATGCTCAGAAGACAGCGCTTGTGTTTTGATGTGCCAGAGGGTAAGTTTTTGAAAAAACAACACACAGTTTTTATGTCACCACCAGAAGTGGTGACATATTGATATACAGTCTCCAACTTTTTTGTGGACGGTGTTTGGCATTTGGTATTTGGCAGTCGGTGTTTGGCATCTGTAACAAATGGCAAGTAGTGACATTTTGCATGTTAATGCCTTGTTAGGTTATGTGAGCTAAATGCTTGCATAATTATAATACATTATATATTTAAGCAAATTAATTTATTACAATACAATGCCATGCAAAGCAAAGCAAAATAAAATAAAACAATACAATACAATGCAATATAATGCAATATTACAATGCCATGCAAAGCAAAATAAAACACTACAATACGATGCAATTGTTTTCATTATAAAAGTACTTAATTATAAATCCATTGCTCTTGTCCAAATATAAGACCTCCCATCCTCCCAAGGTTAACCAATTGGCAGAACAGCATATTTCACATTATAGACACATTATCTCTAATTACAATACAATTAAATGATATTTGTAAACCTGCATTATAAATTCAGTATGAATCCTATTATGGAGACAAAAGTGGCATTTACATTATCTAACATTCTATTTTTATTAATTCACAGGTGAATGGCAGAGATTCTTATTCACTGGTGTAGTGTTTCTAAGTGGCTACTTTTTCAACTACCTTCCATACTGTCTAATGGACACAAAATTATTCCTGCACAACTATTTACCTGCAGTGTATTTCAAGATCCTCTCTACAGTAGCAGTGCTGGACCATCTCTATCACATAGCCAGGTAAAGGTTCATTTCCAAAAATACACTCCTCGCGGAAGTTCTGATCATATGGATTGTAAATGGCAATTGGGAAAATGCATCATTAGTTTTTGTAAATTGCAAATCTACACCTATATGTATAATAGCTACCTATAAAATTTGATGTGACTTCCTTTCCTCTTGACTACTAAATCAAAACTAAACCTTCAAGTGACCTTGTATTTGAGTAGAATTAGGAATACTATGACATTGCCATAACAATAATGCACTCACAGATGTCTTGTTGACCAATCAAAACTCTGAGTAGATCTGACTAGAGTAGGTTATCTCAAATGACCTTCAATCTCTCGCTTTACTTTAAACAATATAGGAGACTAATTTTACGATTATGGGAAAAATAAAGAAATAATGTGTACTCATCATTTGTTTCTCATTTCAGATACAACTGGTTAAAACATATACTAAAAGGACTATTGATATTATGGTGCGTGCACATTCTCTGGACGTTTCTACTATTGAGTGTGTTCTCTTATGGACTTGGCCCTCTTAGTGCAGAAGATATACGATATAGAACACTGAAGGAATCATGGGATTTTATTGTACATAAATAAGTTATTGTCACATAGAGACAGTGTGGTGTAAGGAGTAAGACGATGTTATCACCATGGTGAATGAGAGAAACTTTTAAAAAAAAAAGATATTTGCCTTATTTGAGCTTCAACACTAACTTTATTTAATTTTAATGCAATTGTAAATTGTAGAAAAAGTATTTTAAATACCTTTTTCAGAGAGATGTCTTTTTATACCTAGAAAATTATGGGGTGCATAATAATATATTTATAAATATTAAACTAGATTTGTGGGATCTTTATATTTGCATATGTTTATACACATAAAAAGTTGTAATAAATATGCTATGAAGATGGGATGCCTGCTTGGATGGATTTTGTTAATGACTGGATTGTGGACCATTGTGATGGCTTGCTGCATTTAGTTCATTGAACCATTGGACAAAATTATTTTGAGCAATTTTTCAATCTTTGGTTGAAGTATCTTTACTCATCTTTACTCATTTTACTGCACAAATATAGAAGCCATTTGCTATATGCTTTACTCCCACTGAATACACTAGACTAGCTTTAGATTAACTGTATCGTTTGATATTTTATTTTTCTAATGTCATTACACATATCGGTTGTGTTACAGCGCTTATACATTCTTACTAATACTGACGATGAAATGTATCACTATGAAATCATGATACCATTACAGCTAGCTGTTTGTTAAATGTCATAAAGTCCATGAACTTTGTGGTTTTACTGTAATTGTTAGTAGTTGAGGACGGTGATACCAGCCCAATGTTTCATCTGTAATAGGAAAAGCCATAATAATAAAGGCCCAACTCATAAGTCAACTAACGTATATGATGACAGTACTACCGATGCCAAAAGGAGAAATAATGAAGAAAATAGAAGATATATTTTACGCATTCATCTGGAACAACAAGTCAGAGAAGATAGCAAGGAAAACATTAATGAGAGAGGTTAAAGGAGGAGGATTAAATATGATTGACGTAAGAGCATTTGCTAGAAACTTGAAATTAAAGTGGATAAAAAGCATTAATAACGAGGAAATGAATTCCAAATGGGCAAATCTATGGAGACACCACCTCAGAAAACAAAACGGGCAAAACATTTGGAAATGGAACTGCAGAGAAATAGAAAAGGCACAACTGAACAACCTGACGATTAAATCTATACAAGAGGCTTTAAGAATATGGACGTCCATAAACTTCATTGAGGGAAAGGACATCAAACACAATGAAATAGGACATGAACTTATCTGGAATAACTCTAACATTACCAGCAGGGGCAAACTCTTAAACAATGAAGAATGGAAAAGAAAGGGAATTTGGAAAATAGATCAACTATATAATAACACGGACCTGAAAGTCTTAAAGTCCGTGATAATAACAAAACCATCATACCTTTCGATACACTAAGAACATGCTATGGTCTAAATGGAGTAACGTTTCTGGAACACCGCAAAATATTACCCTGCGTGCAGAGTCTAGTTAAACTAGACGAAGCTCTCTTTTAAAAAGTGAAGTCAAACGAATGCAAAGGGTACAAAAGGTACCGTACAAAATATTAGCATGCATTCCAGACATTTGGAAAAGGGCTATGAGACAGAACGACCAATGTACTACACCAAGTTATCTCGTAGAAAGGCTACAATTCATGAAGAATACCAATACGTACATATTGCTAAAAAATACAGTTAAACAAAAAAATGCAATAAAATCACAAGTGAAGTGGGCAAAACAATTACACATCAATGAAAATGATTTCAACTGGCAAAGTATATACACATCACTTAAGGATATAATAAAAGACACAAAACTGCAATATTTTCAATATAGGTTGCTACAAAGAGCAAGTTATTTCAATAAAATGTTATATATAATGAAAATCAAAGATTCACAATACTGTAAATTTTGCAATGACAATGCTGTTGATTCAATAACCCATGGACTACTAGACTGTGTAAAGGTACAACAATTTAAGACAAGATCTTTAAAACAAGATATGGCCTATGCCAAAATTGGAAAAAGGTTTACAGAGGGTTTGTGTAAAAAACCGGGTGACCGGGTACTTAACGTTCCTAGCAGGGTTAGGATTTTTTATTTATAACGTTGGATCTGGACGATACATGTACGTTATTTTCGACGTCACGTTTTAAAGTTATTTCACATCGTAAGAACGTTTTGACAACGTTAACTTTTAACGTTAAAATAACGTCGGTAATGAACCGATTTAGTGAGAACATATTGACGTCTTTGTAACGTTTCCTTAACTCACACATATTTTGAAGCCATTTCCACAATGTTGAAATTCAACCATCCATCGACGTTTTGCTCAATATTTATTAAATAACGTCAGATCAGTATGGTCCATGAACGTCATTATTGACGTCACGTTTTGATGTTATTTCAAATCGAAAAAACGTTTCGACAACGTTAAATTTTAACGCTAACAATACGTCGGAAATGAACCGACTTAGTGAGAACACAAAGTTTTTGTCATGTTTTTTCCACCAATAAATATTTTGATATTAAAAGCCTGTTTTGACAACGTTGAATTTTAACGTTTGAGTTACGTCACATATGGACCAATGTAGTAAAAAATCAAACGTTCCTGTTTATTATGTTTTCCACACTAACGAACTTTACGGACACGTTACAACAACGTTCTTTTTATACCATCAATAGATGTTTCATGTTTACGTTGCCTCGATGTGTAAAGAACGAAAATGTGCAACGTCTTCTAGGAACTTATAGATACGACGTCAGATACTGTACATCACGGCGTAACAGTGTAATTGTTCATTTTACCGACAAAATGCAAAGATTTACGCGATAAATATGCGCGATGCTCCTCCAAGTAATTGCAAACGTTTTGGGACTTTTTAAATGAGAATCACGCAAGCCGTGTTATGCGACTTTCGATCATCCTACACACATGTCTTTCTGAATGGACAAGTTTGTTCCAAAAACAATTGCTACTGGGGCTTACATCCTCCTGATTTCGACATAGATTTTTACTTCTGCAACAGCAGTGGTATTGCTGGAGTCATTTGTAAGTAACTATTTGTTTAGTTTGTTCATATGTGGTAAGTCTTACAAAATAAATAATATAAAAATAACCTTACACTTAACTCACACTTTTAGACTTATTTAGCGCGCTGTAATAGCAACAATTGAAAAATTATATCATGATTGATATGACATAACAAGGGTGACAATAGGATAAAAGCAACATTTGTGTTCATAAATTGTGTCTATAAAAGTCAGTAAAAATATGTAGAGGACTTCAAAACATCATAAGAAAATTTTTAAAGGTTTACATCATTGTACCGAGTGACACAAAAATAATGCCACACACTAATTTGGAACAACTTTCTAAATAATCAAGGAATCTTCATGATTTTCTATGTGTAGATCGAGTGTTCAATGGATATATATTGGTATAGCATCAACAACTTGGAAATAAAGAGATATCTCATTTTCCGTGGAGGCATGCTCTGACACAAAGTCACTCAAAAAATGTAAGATAGAAAATCTTTTTTAAAATTTACCCATTAAGCGAGTCGGTTTATGAATTAATTTTACAAAATGATCTAAGAACTGGGCATATATGACATATTATAATTGGTAAGCTAGTGAAAGCAACCCCAACAGAAATGACTCAAATAATGGCTAAGACAGAAATCCCAATTTCAGAAAATTGTATTTTTGAACATCTCAAAGTTGTTAATGTAATCCAAGTACAACATTTTTTATCCATTGAACACTCTATCTATTAAAAAATTCACGAAGATTCCTTAATTATTGAGAGAGTTACATCAAAACTAGTGGGTGGCATTTTTGTGTCACCCTGAATAAGGTCAAATTGCCCAAATCAAAGTCACGTGTAATACTCGACATAATAGACATCTGAAGTGTGTCGAGGTCTTTGTTCTGCACTCGCAAAGTTTATTTATGTCAATGTCGTGCTAGATACCTGTTGTGAAACTCCATCTGTGTAGAATATTAGAGCTATCCAACTCTTGCCTGAGCTATTTTGACTTGACTCAAGCATTCCGATTGATTTATATTCTAAGGCTATTTTCCCTCGAAAGATGTTAAAGTTATCTTTTTATTTTGTCATTGATTCTTTTCCAGAAATGGCTGTTTGAATTAATTTAATAAAACGAAATGAAATATGAGTGCTTTGATTAAATAGGTCCATTGATTTGTGCACTATCAGGGTAAGCGTTGAGGAAATTGGCTATTTTCCGGGTGTAGGGGTTTCCACTGTGTCTCAAATCAAGGGTAACCGAAATTTGGATTTTGAATGCAAACTAATTTAAACAGAAGAATATGAAATAACAAATTATCACAAAATATCATAAAATATCGAGGAGCACTTAGAACTTGAAATATATATCAATATATTTATCTTTCTAATTATATTCTAAATTCTTCTAAATGACCTTAATTTTGATATAACCTTCAAATGTATGACATTGTCCGAAACTGCAATGGAGGGCTTTAATTTGTGATGGATTGGTAAGTAAGAATCTGAGAACATGTATGTAGGTTGAAGTCATCTTGACTTGTCAAACGTTTACTGACTGCGGTATAATAATCCCTCATGACCATTATGACAATTTAGATTTTTTGAAATAAGTTTTTATTTCAGGTTAGCAGCATTACAATAAAAGTAGATACTCCGTGCAATTAAACAAGACTGTACATAGTGATTCAATATAAAGTTGCAGATTATTTCAGATAATAGCACCATCCGAAATAATATAGGAATATTCCATGGTTTTCAAAAATATCATTTAAATCCATGAGTGTATATAATTGATATTTTTGAAAAACCATAGGATTGTCCGTTCACCCCATGGGAAATCTTAATCCAGCGAAAAATTAAAGATAAAATTTTGAGAAAAATAGAAAAATTTCTTTTTAAAAATTCTTGAAAAAAAATTGGAGAAAAAAATTGAAAATTTTTTTTTTTAAATGTGAAAAAATCCAAACCATCGAATATCACTTTTTGAGAAGTGATTCTCGATGGTTTGTGGATTTTTTGCTAAATATGATATCTTGATCCACATATTATCTTCACCTGATATTCGATCTATATCCTTGTAACCATGGGATAAATCATTATCCTACACTTATTCTACTAAATGTATAATAACATTAAAAAATAAGTTTGATATTTATTGGCAAAATGAATATCCGGAGGATATCGTGACGATATACTCCGGAAAACCCAATATGCGGAGGATATTGTCACGATATACTCCGCTTGTTGATTTCCCTTGTTAGTGTAGGATAATAAGAACATCCTATGATTTTTTTAAGAATATCATTTTAATCTACTCGGTGATATTGATATATGCACTCGTTCGCAGATATCAATATCACCTCGTAGATAAAAATGATATTCCTCAAAATCATAGAATATCCTATAAATATTAACTTCAGATTCAATCTTTGAATATAGCTGTCATTGGAATTTTTAACTTGACCTTTATTTGACGTGTAGACCATTGGTCTACTTTTGTATATTTTTTTTCTCTTTATCACATAATTTTGTCGGTATATGTTTGCACTACATACTAAGTCTGCTCATACATCCTATGTACTTTTGAAATAAAAGTCAGTAAACAGTTATCTTAAGAACGCATATCTGAAGGAGACTTTAAGTGCCACCATCATTATTTGATGACTTATAAGTCACTTTTCAACAAGTTCACCAAAATAAAGAAAAGCCTATTAGCATTGACTTTTTTTCGAGACATAAATAATAACTAGAACTTCAGTATGTCAATTTATTTATTCATGTCCTACACCCCAATATTTACTCGCATGCAAATTGTCTCTCAGTTTGAGAGTAATTGTTTCGTCTCGTACGCCACCCCAACAGCACAATGGCGATCATCCAGACTTTACTGCTGCTCGTTTTGATACTTGGGTTCTCCCAAGCCCAGACTGACTGGCCAGAGATGAAACCAAAAATAGACACATTCATAAATGAGATCCTCGAATGCAGAGGAAAAATTGGGATGAACCTTGCGATTGTGCAGGACAACGAACCTCTTTATACGACGGGCTACGGCTATGCGGATTTGGACAACATGGTACCCGATGATGGCGAAACTATTCACTTTATATATTCCATCAGCAAGTCGTTTGTTGTAACATTATTCGCCACAGTGATAGAAGAGACGGAGTAAGTATGATGATAAATATGTTATGTTTGAAAAAATAAGTTAACTAACATTTAAATGCCCAGAAATGGGGGATAACGTTTATTTCAAGAATATGCAAAATGTATCAGTTTATTCAATTCAATTAAGGATATCGTGGGACTCCTTGATCACAGATTTGTTGCCGGACTTCCGATTTCGAGATGAGGAGAGAAATAAAGGAATGCAGTTGAGAGACTTGCTTGGTCAGGCGAGTGGCATTCCAGAGAGACTGGGCGGGCCTTACAATTCAGTTGCAGAGTTCGTAAAGTAAGAATTTTATATAAATATATCAAAATAAATATATAATTTCTAAATGTTACTTAAAATAGGAACATAACGTGTATTGGCTTAGGATGAAAGAAACAGTGTTCATAAAAAGATGTCAGAGCTCGCTGGTCAGTATCAAGCGAAGGTAACGGCCGTAACCTTCGCATTAAAGTTATTTTTCGTCGAATTAAACTACGTTATAGTTGACGTAATGATTTGATATTTGAAATATATCGGGCATATATGACATGAAAACTCTAGAGTATGATCATTTTTTCATATACCATATGCGTACGCACCGCAGTTCAACGATATCTTCCATCGCTCAGGAAAGGTAACTGGGATTTTGGTGATAAGATAACTGATATGCAGTGATGCTGCATAAAGCGGTGGAAAATATCTTTGAACTGTGACGACCAGGCACAATGTATGAACAAAATATCATATTCCAGAGTTTACATGTCATATAAGCCTGATTTGGTTCAAATATCAAATCATTATGTCAACTGTAGTAGTTTAATTCGATGAAAATTGACGATTACCGTCCGCCATCTTAGATGCGAAGGTTACGGCCGTTACCTTCGCTTGATACTGACCACTAGTCTATAATCACATAACTTGAGAGAGTATTCATTGAACATTCATTGGATCGTTTAATGATGAAATCATTTCCGACCAGTCCACAGGCACTCCATCTATAATGGCTTTGATTTATTTAGCGTGGTCAAATGCACTGAACCGGTTATGGGGATGCGACAGAGTTTCTGCTACGTCGATAAAAATTATTACCTTGCTGGTGCGATACTTGAACATCTGACAAACAAATCCTTCTCGCAACTGATGCATGAACGAATCTTAACCCCACTGAAGATGAACTCGACATTTCCATCCCTCGCTCATCGTTATAATGAGTCCCTTGGCAAGTTTGCGTATGGTTATCGATTAGTTAACGGAGAGGTTGTGGTCAGCGATTCACCTGGTACTGAAGGTGAAGTCACGTAAGCAATTTAAATTTTAATCGATACTGTTTAATATGTGTTTATTAACGTATTGTTCGGATCCTTTCAATGTCAATACATCCCAACGGCTATACAATACTCTTAATTCTTACACCCATATATTTGAAACAGAGAGATTTCGCAACTCACTTAAAATAGCCATGGACTTAAAGACAGGTCCGTGAAATAGCATGTTTATTATGTAATGGATAAACTATGAGATTTGGTCATTAGGAAAAATAATGGTCAACGGGCGTAGACCCAAGACGAATTGTTTATCTAACTTAAACCACACACTGTGCACTGACTGGTAAGTGGTCCATAATTCAATTTTAGAAAAAAATTGATTTCTTGCGTATTGACTATGAGGTAAGTGTATTTAGAAGTGAGCAGGCGTAATTAGTTCAGCTTTGATGCACTGCATTTAACAGGGGATGAGTTTTAAGTTTGTTTCATTTGTCTTTACTAATATATATAGTATAATAAGTTTAGCTTTAGTGTACAACATGTGGCAATCAATCGTCTTTTGTGCCACATTGGTTTTGGATAGCTTGCCAAGACAAGTGTACATTCTTAAAAAACAATAGAAGAATAATGCAACCCTCTTTGTTATAGCTGGTTATTCTTAAATATGAAACACAGTTCATCCTATTCTGTTGCTACCTAATGCCTGGGCCACGTTTGCTCAGATCCATCGGCCGGCGCCCTGCCGATTGAGTATTCTGTTCAAAACTGAATACAATTGTGAACAATATACTCAATCGGCCGGGCGCCGGCCGATGAATCGGAAAAATGTGACCCACGCATCAGTGTGGTTTAATCCGGTATTACGTATAACTCAAGTGTTTCAAGTGTTTGATTACGTCATCATTTACTGCGCAGCTCTGTACGTTCATTCTTACTTATCTTATGCCCGGGTCACATTTGCTCCGATCCATCGGCCGGCGCCCGGCCGATTGAGTGTTTTGTTCAAAATTGTATTCAATTTTGAACAAAATACTCAATCAGCCGGGCGCCATAGTAAAAATCGGAGCAAATGTGACCACGGCATTATGATCAATAAATTGAAGCCATCGGATTGTCCAGGTCTTGTGCTGTACCAATCTGTATTGTTACTGGGATTGTCCCCTCACCTTTTGTTGGTACAGGGTTGTTCATCTCCGTAACAATACAGCAAATATTGGTACAGAGGGGACAATCTCAGAGCAAGTACGAATATTTCCTTAGGATTATCTCCTAATTAAGATATATTGGCCAAATAAGATCACACGATAAAACATTATAGAATGATTTGAAAAGCAATACAGGATATATTGTGCTTTTGATATTCTGTATTGGCACTCGACTTCGTCTCGTGATAATACAGAATTTCTCAAGCGCAATATATCCCGTTTGCACTTCAAATCATTCAATAACTTATGGTATAGACGATCAAGAAGGATGTCACCCAGAATGCAACATCAATATTCTTCAACAAAAAGCTAGCGTCAGTCCTGGAGTCGGTATTTCTCCTTTGAATCGCAAGTTTCGGTCTTTACTACCTAACAAAAAATTCAAAATACACAAGAAGTGATCAATATAATTATTATACGGGAATAATAAACATACTATAACATGTATAAGTGAGTTGCAAAATCTCTCAGTTTATTATCGTGTTAATTAACTATATATATATACATGTAATTTCAGTGAAACTTTAGTGGCGGCAGCAATGGGGGCCATGTCAACAGCAGAAGATATGGCAGAGTACATGAAGTTCCACCTTGGTGCGTATAGAAATGACGGATCCCTCAATTCAATTGTTGATCCTAACATATTGAGGGAAATGTACAAACCGAACCAAGTCATCAATTTTTACACATCCTTCCTTGAGATTGATGGTCTGGATGATATTGATGAAACATGGAGAGTGTATGCTTATGGTATGGGATTTTGGATGGGGAATTTCAGAGGTGAGTGAAAACAGCAAAAGCGTTTTTGGTGCATTTACTTGAAATATGCTAAACAAGTTCCTAAAATAACATAAAACCGGAGTACTAGTATATATGGACGTACTTCAACTCCATTTTGGTACTCAGACAATCTCTGTTTGCAAAGAATGATTCTAAAAGGAAACGGAAAGGAGGCTGTGATATCTCACGATGCTTACTAGAAGTGATAGAACTATTTAATTGCAATGTTGATGGTTTGTTTCCTTGTGATAATGAATATACTTACAATTTTGGTGTTTATTTTCATCTGTTGTATTCATTCCGTAGAACTTCTCATTCATGACCGTACAATCCTTTTCACTCATAACTCACTACATTTCAGAGAGCGACTTTATACAACACGGCGGTTATGGAACACACGATACTATAATGACACTGTTCAAGCAATGGAATCTTGGCATTTATACTTCCCTTACTGGACCCCATGGAGTTGATTCGCACGCAACTATGTCGTTCATTCACTTTTACATCGCAGACATCCTCCGTGGTAACACTCCTATCTTCAACATCAGTTACGCGTGTAATTACACTCTTCCTGCAAAGGAAGGTGGATATTGCGGACGTTTTGAAATACACCCTGATACAAGCATCGATAAGACCAAAAACACAACCTCCCCTGTCGAAACCTACTCTGGAAGCTATGCAAATCTTGATGACGAAGCCAAAATAAAAGTTGATCCAAACAGAGCTACATTAGTTATGACGAAAGGATGTGAGGAGTACCATCTTTACCCGAGTGGAGTTCCCCATGCTTTTGTAGCTGAATCTACAGGAGAATGTTACGGATGCGCTAAACGTGTTGTCTTCACCATTTTATCAGAAACTGGATTGGTCGATGATTTTTCAAGTCTAAGAATAGATGATGTTGAATTCCAGAATTCCAGAATGAAACCAGAAGAGATAAAATGTGATGTATCGTTGGCAAGTGATACCAACTTTTCTCGGCTTTGTCTGTATTCTATGATGGCTTTTGCTCTGACTGCTACAACAATAATTTAAAAAAAGATTAAGCCCTTTAACACGTAATATTTTGAAATAAGAGTAAATCATCAAGTACAGAATAAATTGTATAACTTCCAGAAATAAACTCATCGCTGGTACGACACCATATATTTTTTATCCGTGTCTCGTCTTTTATCTTATCTACATATAATATCGTATATGGTTTTGATCTGATCACTTCGTATAAGTAGGATAAGCAGATTGATTTTTAAAGCATTCTTTGTGTTCATAAATTGTGCCTATAAAAGCCAGTTAAATATTATTTGAAGGGCCTTAAAACTTCACAAGAACAAATTCAAATGTAGGTCTATTTAAGCATTGTCCCATGTCTGCCATGTCGACGTGTCTACATTAAATCATCAGAAGTAATGCTAGAGTAGTAGCTATACTTGAGATGTGTCAAGGTCTTAGTTCTACACCCGTCACCAAAGGGAGAGATTTCCAAAATATGACCTTTGGTATTGGCAGTTGGCACGTTCGATAACCAATTTTACAGGCCCCATTTGCCACCATTGAAATGGATCTCAAAATGTTCGCGGTTGTTTTATGAGTATTCTCTACATGTTTGGATCGAATTCAATAGTAGTATTACCGTAGTTTTGAGATGATGATATTGAATTGATGTTAACTGAAATAATAAACGCCATCTCCACAATTTCAAATTTTACTTTGCGCATACGCTGCACTGAGAGAGCAAGTGCTCATGATTGTTCACGTGATCATATCCTGCAATTTGATTGGACATCACATACTGCTGGGCGTGATTTAAATGAATTATGGGAGCTACTCACTTATTCTGACCCGTCACATTCTATTTGTATTTATTTCTGAAGTGAGCGTCTGCCCTCGGGTGTCGTATCCAAACTGTACTGGGCTACCAGAGTGTTCTACATGTAACTCTTCCAATGAGTTGTCTCGAGTATGGCACATATTTACACTAGTAAGATGTACTACGTTATCTTTCATGTTTCTTCAAACGATGGATGTCTGAATTGATTTTCTGAAAGGAAATAAAATTATGATTTAATCATGAAAAATCCACTGATTTGGTTATGAAAACTATCGGGGTATTTTTTTGAGGGATGGTAGTTAACTAAGTGTACAATTTTTGAATATATTTTCATGAAATAATTATATTTGTATATATGACATTGACCTTGCGATTACCTTCTAATAATTGCGATTGTACATTGACTAAGATTACTGTTGTAGAGCTTCAATTTGATAGATTCATTGCGTTGGTTAGCAATCTTGTATCTGAGAACAAGTGCATTGTTGAAATAAAAAGTGGTTATACTGACTAGTGAAACGTTTACTATACTGTCTGACCTATTTCTGACATATAACTTGGCCTACTTTTGTAAAAAATGTTTTATGTTCGTCAAATATATTTGGCTAAACGAATATTTGATTGCACTGCATCCTTTGCACACACTCATCACATTACCTTTGATATAAAAGTCCGTAAACAATTATATTATACGAACTAATATTAACATTTGAAGGAGAATTTAAGTGCCATCACCATTATTTGACGACGTGTACGTCACTTTTCAACAAGGTTACAAAAACTTAGTATTTAAATTCTTTAACCTACTTCGAGTCGCCAGATTCATGTCATGAATAATAACTAGAACTTCAGTATGTCAAGTTATTTATATTTGCCCTGCACCTTCAATACTTGTATGCAAATTGTCTCTGTTTGAAATGAATTGATTCGTCTTACACACCGACCAAACACCACAATGCATATGTAGAACATGCAGACTTTAATGCTGCTTGTTTTTATACTGGGCTTATCTCAGGCCCAGACTGACTGGCCACAGATGAAAGCAAAATTAGACACATTCATAAATGAGATCCTCCAATGCAGAGGGAAGATTGGGATGAACCTTGCGATTGTTCAAGACAACGAGCCTCTTTATACGACGGGCTACGGCTATGCGGATTTGGAGAACCAGGTACCCGATGACGGGGAGACTATACACTTTATATATTCTGTCAGCAAGTCGTTCGTTGTAACACTATTCGCACAATTGATAGAAGAGACGGGGTGAGTACCATGTTAAAACAATAATATAAGAAAAATAAAGTAAATAATATTTTAAGGCCCAGCCATTGTACTCCCATAAATGTGAGGTTATTGTTTTTTTTATTTTATTTTTATTATATTGACACTTTTCTCTCAAAAGGCTTGGGATTTGATACACGCAGAACACACGAAGAATCTGTATGAAAATGATCACAGTTTACTCACCTTTTACGATTTTCGTATCGACCAGGCTTTGTATAAAAACCACGTACCTCGTACATGTCGTACCCACGTACATGGGTCGCGATACAGTCTGAAGGTTTCTAAAAAGTTTTAAAAGATTATTCAGATCTTCAGCCTTCGTTAATGCTAACTTACCATGAATGGTTTATGTTTATGTTTCTTTAAGTTTTCTTTTCCACCTTTAAGATGAGTACATAAATTATTTTAGATTTTAAAAATTACAACATGTATATATACCATGGGCTTTCGAAAGCCGCGGCAACGCGATACTTTAGACTTAGGCATAAGCAATAAATGTTGGTATTATTTTGACAGGCGATTTCGTTTTGCAATGCTTAGTTTTCATGTCTACTTCCTCTTACAATGCGACGTGCGAACATCCTCAAAATTCATTTCGTTCGTTACGAAAACCAAAAATGAAAGAAATTATGATGAGTTTTCAAGAGTCAAATATAAGACTGAATTGTTGCCGTAATAAAGCATCGTTTTGACTTACCGATCGCTCATTTTATTGAAAAAGTATTGTCGTCAGAGAAGACAAGACAGGCCCGTAGCCAGAATTTTCCAAGGGGGGGGGGGGGGGGTTCACTTTTCCAAAAAATTCTAGGGGGGGGTTCACTTTGGTAAATTTGGCCAAAAATCACTCAAAAAATAGTAAGAATGGTGAAAAACTGCATGATTTTGAAAGAAATTTGAAGGGGGGGGGGGGTTCACCCTAACCCCCCGAACCCTCCCCCCTGGCTACGGGCCTGCAACAAAAGGGCAAAGAAACTGACGACGTTGTTAGGATTTTCATCTCCATATCATGTACGTCGAAAATTATTCGTTTCCGCAAAGATATAAGTCTCGGTTTGGAGAACAGCGGTCTAGGGGGCTAATAACTTTTTTCATGAAAAATATAGAAAAACACCCAAATTAAATTATGAATATTCAAAAGAGGACATTTAAATCTACAATATGTCAAAATATCAAGAGTGTTCGAAGTAGGCATAACGTAAAGTAGGCCGATTAAAAAAAGACAAGCCTCGACTGATAAACTTCGTTCTCCAAGCCGAGACTAGTCTTGTCAAAGGCCTTTTAGGTGTGAAGATATTTTGAAGATAAATTCAAAAATAACTAGAAAAACAGCAATTCCGAGGAGTAGCAAACCCCACCGAACAAAACATGTTTTGATAATTAGTGGCCATCTTGAAAATTTCAGAACATTACATGCACTGTATCAGCATACAATATTTGAACCAAAACCATCCACTGGTATTTCAGTTATCAAAGATTATGTTTTTATGCCATTTTGAAATTCAGCTGCCTTCTTGAGCTCCTTTGTTCTTTGGCATCTACATATAAAATTTGAACCAAGTCCATCAATTGGCATTTGAGTTATCAAAGATTAAATGTACGTTCTTTTATAAAAATGGCAACCATTTTGAAATTCAGCAACCATCTTGAAAAATATTTTGTCAACAGAGCAACTGTGCATAGGCATCAGCATATACAAAATTGAACCAAATCTGTTCACTGGTATTTGAGTTATCAAAGATTACGGATTTCTTTACGAAAAGTGACAGCCATTTTGAATTTCAGCCCCCATCTTAAAAATATTATCTAGAACAGAGCTACTATGTCCCTTGGCATTATCATAAAAAATTGAGTCAGATCTGTCTAATGGCATTTCTAAAGGTATTTTTTATAAAAAGTGGCGGCCATTTTGAAATTCAGCCACCATCTTGAAAATTCTTTCTCGAACAGGGCTACTGTGTCCTTTGGCACCATCATAAAAAATTGAGTCAAATCCGTTCAATGGCATTTGAGATATCAAAGGTATTTTTTTACAAAAATGACGGCCATTTTGAAATTCAGCTACCATCTTGAAAATTCTTCCTCGAACAGAGCTACTGTGTCCTTTGGCACCACCATACAATATTTGACCCAAATCCATTAACTGATATTTGAGTTTCAAAGATAACATTCTTTACGAAAAATGGTGGCACTTGAACAGAGCTACTATATCATTCGGCATCAGCATTTAAAAGTTGACCCAAATCTGTTTACTGGTATTTGAGTTATCAACTATTACGTTTTTTTTAAATGGCGGTTATTTTGAAAATCAAGGGCCATCTTAAAATCTCTTCTTGAGCAAAGTTCCTTAGTCTGATATTGCATATACAATTTGAACCAAATCCGAGAATTTGAGTTATCAAAAGTTACATTTTTAAGAAAAAATGGCGGCCATTTTGAATTGAGCGGCCATATCGAAAATTCATTCTCGAGCAGAGGTCCTATACTCCCATAAGACATTGACCTATAAAATTTGAATCAAATCCGTCAATCGGATAATGAAGACAAAATATCCTCACATTTATGGGAGTACAAGCCATTGGGATGACATTTTTTTCAAGAATATGCAAAATTTATCAGTTTATTCAACTCAATTAAGGATATCGTGGAACTCCTTGGTCAAAGATCTGTTGCCGAAGTTCCGATTTCGAGATGAGGAGAGAAATAAAGGATTACAGTTGAGAGACTTGCTTGGTCAAGCGAGTGGCCTTCCTGAGAAACCTCTGAGCGTTCCTTTCAATTCAGTTGAAGAGTTCGTAAAGTAAGTTTGATTAAATTAGAAAGTGCAATAACCCTGTTCTACAAGGTCTACAAGCCAAATCTGATTTCCAGAGCCATTTTTTAGCAATTAATTGAGATAGGCACAGTCTGTCTCGTCCAAAGGCAATAGTAAAGGCTGTGGATTCCATAATAACATTAGCTTGTAGTCATTTGAATTGATGTGAGAGTATTCATTGGACGAGTTGGATAGTTGAATGGTGAAACCAGTTCGGATCAGTTCATTGTTGGATGCATGTATTCCATCTATTATGATTTGAATTTGATTTATTCAGCGTGCTAAAATGCACCGAACCGGTAATGGGTATGCGACAGAGTTTCTGCTATGTCGACGTAAATTATTTCCTTGCTGGTGCGATACTTGAACATCTGACGAACAAATCCTTTTCGCAACTTATGCATGAACGAATCTTTACCCCACTGAAGATGAACTCGACATTTCCATCCCTCGCTCATCGTTATAATGAGTCCCTTGGCAAGTTTGCGTATGGTTATCGATTAGTAAACGGAGAGGTTGTGGTCATCGATTCACCTGGTACTGAAGGTGAAGTCACGTAAGCACTTTTAATTTTAATCGATAATACTCACAAACGTATTGTTCGGATCCTTTCAATGTAAATACATACTAACGGCTATTATAGAATACTCTAATTCTCAAACTAACATATATTTGAAACGTTAGAGTTGATTAATGTGTTAATAACAATGTACGAGGGTTGTCCCAGAAGTAATGCACTACATGCTCTCACTTTATCAATAATTGATATTTCTCCATGAAAATTTCAGTAAATGATCATAAGAGACATTTTGATTATTCTACAAATTTTCATGTTGACTGATAAAACTATATTGATGTTATAATAAAATCAAGTTGGTGTGTTTGGGTAGGGTGGGGCAGGTTATACAGTCCCGTCAAAAGGAATAAAAAATTGAAAATATGAAATAATTAATCAACAAATACCATTTTGTGTAGCTATAAGAAGTTGGCTCAAAAATCGATATAGGATACTAAATTACTATGAGCACATCTTAGATTTAATTGGTGTATATTGCACAGTGTCCCATTTCACATTTTCTCAAAATATTGCCCTTTGCATGTCATGTACTTTTGATGCCTGTCAGGTCAAACACTCTTGGTAATTTCTTCCACTGTGACTTGTGGAGTTTTTGCCTCCCTTGTTTGGAGTTGTCATCCAGGGTCCAGTCATCTCTTTTAAATCTCTTCTGCCATCTCATAATTGTAGTCATATCTGGTATATACTCCTTATATAATCTTTTCATGGTAGCAAAAGTTTTGCGTGGTTTTGAGTCCAAGTGAAGTATAAAATTAGACCACCAAACGCAAGGCCTTCTGTTTTCAGGTGAGGATTGCAGCCATTTTTGATCATTTAACTGTGGTATTATGACATCACAGTGCTAAATGTCATTATTTGTACTTGGTTAACATCATGCTGAATAAATTTAACAATTTCCCTAACATTTTGATCATTTAAAGGAAAGAAATATTGGATCTTTGGATCTTTTCATAATTAGAAAAATTGGTACCTGCCCCGCCTACCCCCACCCCCATATTGCTATAGCAACCATATTAAGACTTGATATAAATGTTTGATGCTGAAACTTATATTATTATAGATAAAACTTCAATTGTTATATACACAAAATTTCAGCTGAATTGAAGTATATTCAAGAAAGTTAGAGCATACATGTATAGTGCATTACTTCTTGGACAACCCTCGTACTTGCAGTGAAACGTTATGGGCGGCAGCCATGGGGGTCATGACAACAGCAGAAGATATGGCGGAGTACATGAAGTTCCACCTTGGGGCGTATAGAAATGACGGATCCCTCAATCCAATTGTTGACCCCAACATATTGAGGGAAATGTACAAACCGAACCAAGTCATCAATTTTTACACATCCTTCCTTGAGATTGATGGTCTGGATGATATTGATGAAACATGGAGAGTGTATGCTTATGGTATGGGATTTTGGATGGGGAATTTCAGAGGTGAGTGAAAACAGTTAAAGCGTTGGATCATTTACTTGAAATATGCGACTAAGTAAGTACCTAGGACATACAACTGGAGTCATGGTACTTTAACTCTGGTAGTGGTAAAACTATTTGCAATGTTGATGGTTTGTTGCCTTGTGATATTGAATACTTAACATTTTGGTGTTTATTTTCATCTGTTGTATTCCGTAGAACTTCTCATTCATGACCGTTCAATCCTTTTCACTCATAACTCATTACATTTCAGAGAGCGACTTTATACAACACGGCGGTTATGGAACCCACGATACTATAATGACACTGTTCAAGCAATGGAATCTTGGCATTTATACTTCCCTTACTGGACCCCGTGGAGTTGATTCGCACGCAACTATGTCATTCATTCACTTTTACATCGCAGACATCCTCCGTGGCAACACTCCCATCTTCAACATCAGTTACGCGTGTAATTACACTCTTCCTGCAAAGGAAGGTGGATATTGCGGACGTTTTGAAATACATCCTGATACTAGCATCGATAAGACCAAAAGCATATCATCCCCCGTTGAAACATACACTGGAAGCTATGTAAATCTTGATGACGAAGCCAAAATAAAAGTTGATCCAAACAGAGCTACATTAGTTATGACGAAAGGATGTGAGGAGTACCATCTTTACCCGAGTGGAGTTCCCCATGCTTTTGTAGCTGAATCTACAGGAGAATGTTACGGATGCGCTAAACGTGTTGTCTTCACCATTTTATCAGAAACTGGATTGGTCGATGATTTTTCAAGTCTAAGAATAGATGATGTTGAATTCCAAAACTCCAGAATCAAACCAGAAGAGAGAAAATGTGATGTATCGTTGGCAAGTGATACCAACTTTTCTCGGCTTTGTCTGTATTCTATGATGGCTTTTGCTCTGACTGCTACAACAATATTTTAAAAAAGAATAAGTCCTTTCACTTAAATGCCCACTTTGCGTATTTTCAACGTTTTTGGGCAAAACAAAGACTTACATTTGAATTTCATAGTATGTCCAATGTATTGATAAGAACCTTATCTTTCATTTGACACCAACAACAGCCCTAATGGACCACATCAAAGCTTACAATAGATTATCAAAAATATTTTCAATCTGTCAAGCTTTATATATCAAGTTTTTATCAATGTCATTGAAAGATGGCAAAGTTGTTTGTATTACATGATACATTCATTTCCATAGAAGTGTCAGGCCCGTAGCCAGGATTTGCCAAGGGGGGGGGGGGTTCAGTTTTCAAAAATTTCCAGGGGGGGGTTCACATTTGACAATTTTGGCCCAAATATGGCTAAAATCACAAGAGAAGTGCTCAAAATGGTGAAAAACTGCATGATTTTGAAAGAATTTTTGGCCAGGGGGGGGGGGGGGTTCGCCCGAACCCTGCGAACCCCCCCTGGCTACGGGCCTGAGTGTCGCCATCTTTTAAATCAACAGTAATTAAAACGTGCATTTTGTTTAACATGTGCATGCACGTCTAATGATCTCTGAACTTCAAATGCTTTTTTCTCTGCGAGTCATTTTTTGGTTCAATATTAAAGCAAATCAAACGTTGTGAGCGAGTGTGTGAGTAACATGTTTCAATGATTATTTTTTATTCTAAATTAAGTATAGTGGGCCTTTAATATTTTGAAATAAGAGTAAATCATCGCCCTGAATAAAGTGTATAACTACCAGAAATAAACTCATCACTGGTCCGACACCGTATATTTTTATAACCGTTTCTCGTCCTTTATCTTATCCACGGGGGTAAAGCAGACCCGATGATGCAATGAGCTTTATCGGCGGTATCATGACTGTGTAACGGGTCTTAATGTATAATTGTGCTCGGCGGTAGGTTCAAACAACGCGGATCCTCAAAGCATGTGCTCATGGTATATTCGTGTTTTAACACCCGTGTTATCTACGTGGTTTTGATCCGATCACTTCGTAGAAGAAGGATATGCAGATTGACCTTTTCAAGCATTCTTTGTGTTCATAAATTGTGCCTATATGTACAGATAATGTCGTGCATCTATTCATTTATTCGTAAACCTTCTCGTGAAAATTCTAGCAGAAATCGTCCACTCCCCTCGCTAAATCGAGTGGAATAGAGCAAAGAGAATCGAAACATCAATTCAAACCAGAAAAAGGCCAGAGATGATATTCTATGCAATTTTAGTTTCGATAATTATGACATGTGTATTGTATAAGATATGTGTACACGTAATTTATTATTGTGAAAAATGAATACAAGTAAATTGAGCCACCAACCCCATTGTTACATGTTTTGTTTTCTAATAAGGTTATAGTCTCACATGATAGCACGTGATATAAATTAAAGTAAGAAGGTCCAGTTACTGTTTTACAGCGCGATATACCACCTTTATAGTACTTACCCGAAATTTCAAAAGGCCTTAGATAAGCTTTAATGTCCTGTTTAAGAATAAGAACCCCTAGTAATGGATTCTAGCAATACTCACCAAGATGAATCTACTTGTTGAGACTCGATCGACTATGAGTTCTTCTGTGAAAATGAGAATTTCAGCAAGGGTGTGATTGACTTAGCATTGGGATGAATCTATGAGACCCGATGCTACCTTCTGAGCATTCCGATTATACCGTGAGTATAACCCGATGAAATCGCGAGTAAGCTTTCGGATCACTATATAATTACATGAAGTATATCACAAATGTTCCTCTAATTTATCCTACTACTTGAGTCATAATGTAATATTATATAATATAATTCAACTTGACAGCCAGTTGATGATCAATGGGTGGGGTGTAGGTAGGGGGGAGGAGCAATCCTTGAGGGATGGGGTTCAACTGAGGGGCAACCGTGTTAATGGTCTACCCGTCTGTAAGGAGGGGGGGGGAGTTGACAGCTGAATGGAAGCATGGGTTCCCAAACCTGCATTAGGCAGTTGCAAAGGCTGTGTATATAGCTACGGGTGTAGCTGAGATGTTAGAGGCTGGGGCACAGAGAAAGTAGGATTGGCATGCAGGAACCATGGAACTTGCATTCCATGGGATAAGGAAGGTAAGGCATATAGGGTGCAGATGCAAGGGATAGATGGGGAAGAAAAGAGGGGTGAGAGAAGCATGCGCCAAGTTAAGTCTCAATAAAGGCATAATTGCCAAAGTGGTAGATACTGTGCTTCTGGTGGCTGCCACATCTGCCAACGTGTTTATTGGGACTACCTGTGTATTAGTTGCTGCTTTTGTTGTCACCGTGACTGGAAATGGAAACATCAAGTCACTATATCTGCTCAGGGTTATATAAAACCACCCATGGAAATGCAAGAATGCCAAAAGATAGAACTGGCTCAGTGTAATAATAAAAACTGCTAGGTACCAAAGTGCACCCAAGAGACACTAACATGTCTTAGAAGGCAACTTGACTAAGTATAATAATGCAAACTGGTTTATGATAAGCTAATTAAAAAGAATAAATATTAACTAGACGTAACTAAGACTCCCTGGCACAGTTTGCAGATGTGCAGCTCTGAATACTTACTGTTTTATTTTGTAAGTACATGCTAAATCCTCCCAGGAGGCTCTGAGTAGGGCTTTCCCGTCCTTGTTCAAATACACGGGGTCATCAAGGATGTCGTGATACTGAAGGTGTTCGTCAAAGACCCCTTGGTGATAATGGAATGTGAGCCTAGGGGAATTTAGACAGTGTATTTTCGCCATTGGGCTAAAGTTAATGGACATGATCATTGAATTTAACGGTATGGATCGCTCCATGGTGTTAAGTGGTGTTTGTGGGTCCTGGACCAACCCCTTGGGAATAGGGACCCAATGACCACCGCGTCCACTGTATAATTGAAGGCCATGATATCAGCTGCCAGACTGGTGACGTCTTCTGCCAGCTGATTGGGAGACAATGGGATAGGGAAGGGGATGTAGGATTAGGGGAAGGGGTGGGGATGTCATTGTCACCGATCTGGATGGACAAGGCTGGCGTCCAATTTAAGTGTATCCGTGACTCTCGCCAGTCAGCCATGCATCGTAAATTCAATGTCTGGAAGGGCAGGCGGGGCACTAGACAGTCTTTTGACGAAAGAGTGACCCAGGATGACCACTTTAATCGCTGGATCAGATATATAAGGTGGTGGGATGGGAAAGGGGATAGTCAGATCCATAAGGGGTATGGTTACTGGGTGGGAAGGGTTTAAGGGGTTGACGGTCGATCTGAGGGATTGGTGATGGTTGGTATATAGGTGGGCATCCGTGAGGGGTGTAACCATAGGGTTGGCTGTTAAAGGGGCATCATACAAAACTTCAAGATTGGGGTCAGAGTCCCCCATATCCATGTCCATCAGGGACTAAATGACCCACCAGGCCCATCAAAGCTCAAAGACACTGTTAGTCCATGGTATGACTTCCGAATATGAAGGATCCGTAGCACACTATAGTGCAGCAACATTTTAAGCAATTAATATTTATGGAGGTGCATATGTCTTGATTCTTTTAACATACCATTTGCTGAAAAAACTTCCGGCTTTCAGGTCGAAAAATGTATTTCATCACAAGGGGTCAAAAACGTAAATATTTTGATTCGAACTTTTATATGTTTTATAAGACACAGACCGTTATTCTAAGCATACGAACAAAAATTAGATTATGATAATGTGCAAATATACTATAATTTTACTGTAGATGTCTGTGTTTAATTAGTGTAATTACGCAAGTGTGTTTTTCAGATTTTGTTTGATTTTTCAAATATGAGCCAAGCAGATTAAACAAAATTGTTTGAAATATTAAGTTATTTATACTTGGGAACATATTAGTTTTCTTACCATTTGGACCATTTTATTACCAGAATTTTCCCGTATAATCTGAAGGAGTCAAACAACAAATTATTGTTCATGTTTTATAAAACATAATACAATAATAAATAGGTAAGATTTATATCTAATTAAATGTTACAGAGGTATTGGAATGTTCATATATTCCAAGGGCATGTCAAATAATCAATTAGAGTCATATGCAATCGAACGCCTTACAATTCTTCCTCGACGTTACTGCTGGCTCTCATCAAGTTTTATAATGGTTGTTTCTTCTTTGACCTTACCGCCGGATATCATCAAATTTTAGGAAGATAATGACAACGATTTTTTCAAATATTCATGAATTCGTCCAAGTCTTATTGGTTGTTTTATAAGCAACTGAGCTATATCTAACTTCGAGAAATAGAATTTTAGCTGTAGTCCCAATTAATTCCGCGGTGAACATAATACTAAAGGACCCATTTTGTGAAAAACTAGCATAATTTAAGCATTTGTCATTCTAATATAAAAGTGATTAATTTGTAGCATTTATCGTATTAATACCTGAGAAACAATACAAAAGGTCGATACACTGATTACATAATTTTCGGTATTGATAAGCATGATAACCTCAAACGTATAGCTTAGAAAACTAAATCATATATGTAAAATTATTTTGTATTATTTTCTGGTGCGTTGTGTACTCCAAATTGTAAAAAATTGGGATTTTATTTTTTGGTTATTTTTTGACCTCTGTTAATGGCAGGCATAATTCAGCCTAAAAGCCGGAAGTATATGAAACGGTAATAATAAAAATTATTAGCGAACATATGTAGGTATGTTAATATTAGGTCAAATATCGCTGCGCTATAGTGTGCTACCAGCTCCTTTATTAGACGTCCTAGAGATTTCATACCATGGACTATGTATGCAGAGACATCTATTCATGTATATAGCATTTATTTTATAGAAGTATAATTTTGACGGCCATGAATCGAACACGGTAAGAATCAGCATTCATGTAAGTTGATGGACCAAGTTGACACGGGCAGCTTGAAGTTCATTTCGTTTTCACTGCAGTAAGACAGCGCATTTATACACTGCTTAATTTTGAGTGATTCGGCCACTAACTATGGAGCTCTTCATGGGGAGGAGATAAAACCATGACAGGAAAAAATCAATGTACCGATTGTAATTATTTTTCTCTGGTGGGTACATACGACATTGTGCTTTGACGTAAGAGCATATAAATTCGATCTTTTTTTGAGGACATTGTAAGTTAACATTTCGGCCTATGGCAAAATAATTGTGATATTCTTAGCAAACGACTCCGAGCCGGCTCCCTAAATTAAAATATCTGACAATAATTTATATCATGTTTTCAATTAAAAAACCTGCCATTGATTCATACATGGAAAGTTCCTTGAAAATGACAAAGTCCCAAAAAATAATTTGAAACCTCAACTTTTTCACCTTTCGAATGTCACTTAAGGTCAAATCTCAAATTTAAGGTCAGATTTGAACTCCTGGGAACTTGTAGATGATTTTAAGAAAATTTGAAGCAAGTTAAAATTTGGTAGTGCAATCTTTCGAAATTTACTGTATTTTATATGGTACAAAATATAGTAATGTGATAATATGAATATACTTTTAATGCAACACATTGAGTTGAAATCTGACTATTAAAAAACACGATGGCCATCCTGACATGGCTGTCATTAAATACAACTCTACTGTTTTTTGCTGTAACTGAATAAGTGATTTTGTTCATTTTTTATATGTGCATCATACGAAACGAGTTCATTGTCTCGCAAAAAGGTTGTACAAAAAATATTTTTAATAATTCAGAAATGACATTTTAGAATTATAAAAATTCACCGATATTGTGTTAAAATATCATCATGATCATTCAAATAATGAAAAAGTTCCACTCATCGAGAAAGCTCTCCCTAACAGGACTCCTCTTTTTCAGTTTTGGTTCATCAGTTGCCGAAATAATACTTCTCAAAAAGTGGCTCATTTTTTGGGCCACTCGATATATCACATTTGACATAAATTTTGGTATATGTACAGTATAAAGTAAATATATAGGCTAATAGGATGTATAAACTATTTAACTATATTTATATTTAAAGGCCCACTTTGGGGATTTTCAACATTTTTGGGCAAAATAAAGACTTATATTTAAATTTCATAGTATATCCAATGTACCTTATCTTTCATTTGACACCATCATCAGCTCAAACGGACCACATCAAAGCTTACAGCTTAGTTTAAAAGCACCTTTTCATTTTAGGTTGTTAAATCATATTTCTAATCAAAACAGATATTTCATTCTGAAAATATGGAATCAAATTGATCATCCATCCTTTTATCACTGGTTATCCACTCGATTACGCTGGTTACCGAAATGGTTCGTTTTGGTAACAAAATGTCGGAACATCGAAGGTACGATTTTTCTTTTTTCCTAACCCCCCTATCACACCAAACTCGTTCTTACCCGTTCTTGCCAGTCCTACGAAAACGTCGTAAAACGGGCTCAATCTGGCTGTGGTCGGGAAATATGTCTGAAATAATTAGCTTCTTCGTTCTTAAACAGTCTTCAATACGTCCTTCTCGTTCGCAGTTCGTTCAGGTCGCACCACGTCGGTGTGCAACGTAGTAGAACGCGTCCCTTAGTCTAGAAGGTCAACATGACCTGATTACAGAACGTTATGGTCGCCATCGAATTTTGAATCGATTCAAAATTCTAAAATCACATTCCCGTCTGAGAACGATCATAAAGTTCGTAAATAGACCTTAGAAAGTTGCAGCTACGTTCGTTCCGTTCGCACACAGTTTTGAAGAACGCAGTGGCAACTTGTTTGGTGTGATAGCTATATTTTTGCTAACTCGTTCATAAGCAGTGTTAAATACGTTCTCAATCAGTTTAAACCCGTTTGCAATTAGTTCTACCTCGTTCTCAACACGTCCTCAGACAATTCAACTCGTTGTTAAAACGTCCCTTGTAGGATTGAAGTACGACGGTTCCGTTCGTAGTACGTCCAGCTCGTCGTTAGTACGTTGTCACTCGTTCTAATTGTAGAACGTGACGACCACGAGAACATTTTGAGCATTGTCTAAGTTCTAGAGGACCTACCCGTTCGAGTACGTTCGATGAAGTTTGTTAATAGATCCCAAACGGTTCTTAGTAGGTCCAGTCCGTTCGTACACAGTTGAAGCCCGTTTTTGAGAACGTAGTGAGAACTAGTTTGGCGTGATAGTAGGGTACCCTACTATCACACCAAACTAGTTCTCAGTACGTTCTCGAAAACGGGCTTCAACTGTGTACGAACGGACTGGACCTACTAAGAACCGTTTGGAATCTATTTACAAACTTCATCGAACGTAGTCGAACGGGTAGGTCCTTTAGAACTTAGACAATGCTCAAAATGTTCTCGTGGTCGTCACGTTCTAAAATTAGAACGAGTGACAACGTACTAACGACGAGCTGGACGTACTACGAACGGAACCGTCGTACTTCAATCTTTATGAACGTTCTCAGACGGGAATGTGATTTTAGAATTTTGAATCGATTCAAAATTCGATGGCGACCATACCGTTCTGTAATCAGGTCATGTTGACCTTCTAGACTAAGGGACGCGTTCTACTACGTTGCACACTGACGTGGTGCGACCTGAACGAACTGCGAACGAGATGGACGTATTGAAGACTGTTTAAGAACGAAGAAGCTAATTATTTCAGACATATTTCCCGACCAAAGCCAGATTGAGCCCGTTTTACGACGTTTTCGTAGGACTGGCAAGAACGGGTAAGAACTAGTTTGGTGTGATAGGGGGGTTACTTCACACGTTGTAGGCAGAATCCCACGACAATTTAATGGAGGAAATAAAGAATATACAATACAATACAATACAATACAATGACGTGTCACAAAAAGCTCGCGCACGCATTGTTACACATTTTGTGGCGTAATCCAGAGGATCCTCGCTTTTAACATGATAGAATGTGACGTTTTTGAGAAAAATGTACACACATGAAAATCCTTTCGTCCTCCACATTTACCTCTATATCTCAAAACATCTTAGACGAATAACTCTGATATCATATATATATTGTTTATGGGCTAGGAGCATCATAAAACACGAATCAATTGATATTTTAGGTGAAATAAATATACGTGTTGCTGTGCTTGAAAATAGGCGAATGGCGTAAACCTTTCGTCCTCCACTTTTCCACATACAACAGAAAACACATACTTTTGTGAACAAAATCAACTATTTATTAATAAACTAGAGTTTAGGAGCAAAATAATCATGTATGATTTATTAAAAATTGATCTCGTATTTTTTGTTTAATGTACACCTGAAAAGTTGAAGGTACCAAAAAATGAGCAAAAAAGGTCGCTGTCAACAGATTCTATTTTTCAGACTCTATGACGTCACAATATGGGACGCTTACTAAAATTCATCCTTTGAAGTAAAACTTCCATCTACCTTTATCAAGACGGAAAATAAGTATAATAGTCATATATTGTTTGAGTTATGAGCGTTTAAAGACGAAAAATAATTCAAAATGTAACGTGTCAACATGGGATATTTGCCAGATGTTTTGGTAAAAAACTCTTTTTTAAAAACGAACGCGCAAAAAATGTGAACGGAGTGTAGTTGATCTAAAATCTTCATCGAAACAACTTTAAAATGATATATAACTTTAATTAGAATATTATCTTATAATCCGGAGAATCAAAGTTACATTCACGCGATACCCTAAAAACAAATGCGCCACCTTTTTGCGACACGTCAATACAATACATATTTGCGAACAAATAGTTCAGAAGACAACAGAATCGTCGATTTAATTCCCCACTTAAGTTACATAAACGGTTTTTCGAAAAACGGTTAAGATCTGCACTTTTAACCCAACCAACCCAGTTCTGAACTTTATTTCCAGAAAAAGAGAATATTAAAAGTATCATAAAACAAATAAGGAAGATGAAGAGAACATGAATCAATGTCAAAAAATCAAAATATCAAGGGTTTTAATGAGAGAAAAAGTTCCCCGAAAGGGGTGCTGTTTTCAATAACGTACGTTATGGGCTACGAGTCACGAGATGGCTGTTAACATCAAAATTCTTTAAAATATGCGTCCCTGAAATTTGTTTTATCATTCGTGTGCTCAGGACCCCCTCCTTCCTATTATGGTTTCGAAATGTATTTCCCCATTATATTCAATTGGTAGTTTTTGAATAATCTCAATATAACACTCCATTTATTTATTTTTATTCTCAGGAGGAGGGATAAATTTGCTCCTGGTTTTTAAAAATGATTTATCCTCATTATTACTCCCATAAAACTCTGTAATCTTAATTGTCTGCAGAATCTACTGTTATCAGCTTTTGGTTCATATGTTAGGTTATACCGGAGTAGGTGTAAACTTATCATTTTAGTATTTCAGTTAATTATAGTTTTCTTAAATTTTCATTGAATGTGACAATTTTGTTGATACAAATGTGATACAAATATGACCATTCATGCCATTAGAGCTGACCAAAAATTTCAAAAGGGCCTTAGTTAAACTTAATGTCCTGTAACCCTTTGCCTCCCACATTGCTTTTAGCAAGGTATTGCCCATAACCGCATTGTTTTAGCAATTTAAGAGAAAAAGGTAAAAAATGATAGAAAAACTAAATGTTGAATATCTCAATAAGTTTTCGTCTAATTAATGTGAAATTTTCAGGAAAACATAATTAGGTGTTACTTTAGTGATTTACATGTACTGGCGTTACGTGGCATAGGTTTTGCTATTATGACATCATCACAATGGTTTGGAACAGAATATAAACAGAATAATAGATTTTCAATAGTAAGAATGGATTCTAGCAGTACTATCCCACATGAATGTACTTATTGATCGAGTCTCAACAAAGTAGATTCATGATTGGTAGTAATACTAGAATCCATTTTCAATAGTAAGAATAGGGGTTCTTAAACAGGACATTGGGTCTGCTTTTTAGTTGGTACTACGTGGATTGTTTTAGTTTTACCTAATGAACACAAAACACAAATAGACAGACAGCCATGTTTAATTTTTGAATTTTTCATCTTATTTTATTAATATATCCATATACAATATTGATTTGATATAAATTGTACAAAATGTTTTCAGTATAATGCTACATACCAGGAAGCATGGGCTTTACATCATCAAGCAAGCTGAATGTATGGTTATTATAACCATTGTAAGGAGTACATTTACAACTTAATATAATGTCATAGTAAACTAGGCGATAGCTACATAAATGAAGTAGTAACATTAGGTATAATCCTCAACAATCGGTTCAAGATGACCAAAATTTTGTAAGCCATATACACAGTTGCATCGTATCAAAAGGCGCACCTCACATATTCAATTAGAAAATCGCAATTGAAAGTGCTGTTTCACGTTGACATGGAAACGTCTCAAAATATCTGGACACATAGATGATAGGTGTAAATCCAAGAAAAGCAAGTTATTGACATGACACAAATAAGCAATAAGTTCTGAGTGTGCTGATGTGTACTGGCAAAACAAAGGTTTAAAACACAAACATCTTGACTTTTGAGGTATAATGTATAGTTCTAATTCTGTATTGGCAACGGGAAAATGCTGTAATCTAATAATTTTCACCTTGTAGGAATATAAATTTTTGTCTTTTACAGTAATGAAAATCAAGTACAGCACTCTTATAACATTGATTTTAAAAGGATAAAATCAATATGTGAATGCTACTAGTAGCACTTTTTAGGATGTTGTACTTTGTGATTACTCTTTTATTTTACATTATCAACGACTCAGTGAATTCTTAATTGCTATAATCCTGTGTGTTTACTGAGTATTAGTTTGGCACACTAGCTTGTTTATGAAGACTTAATTGTAGTTAGTTTTTTACATCGCAGTTAAAGCAAATATATATATAGTCATATGGCACCTTAAGTTTCTTTACTTATATATTGTATATATATACTATACATAAAATGTACATAGATTTAATAATAGTAATAGTATTTACATATGTACACGGTTTATTAAAATGCGGCTGAAATCAAATTAGTACATTATCTTTAAATGGCGAGAGCAGTGGAACATTGGAATGATCTCAAGATTCTCAAACCAAGTAAAATATTTTTAAAAATCTGGTTTTGTACAATAAATTGTATTTGATTACATTGTATATGACTATCATTCACAACACTGATTCATTCTTCAGCTTAAAATTAAAAGTTGATAAAACAAATTTTCCATCACCGGTCCAAATTTACCCGCACAAGACAACAGTGTTACTATGACAACCATTGCAATGCTACAATATCACAGCACCATTCATTCATATATACACCCCACAAAATTAATCAATCATATTGACCCGGGGCTATATATATGGACATCACTAGAGACACACAATAATATAGTAAGTTGATTACCCCATATGTAATGGAAGTCTCGCTACATTTACCCTTCCATGTTATAACTTTCAGCATAGTCACTATATACAGTACGAGATGCCCTAGTAAAACTATTCATGTGCATGTCCTCATCTCACAACCTTACTTTCTCAAGTTGTTCATATCAATACTAGATAATGATTGTATGATTCTCATGATTACTATCATCAAATTGTTAGTGTCTTTATTGAATCTGTGCAGAGCACTAATGATACTCATCTTAGAAATACTTCATATGAATATTAAGTCTTTTTCATTGAGATCCAATGTATCTAGGATACATTTATTGGTACAGTTTGTCTTTACTCTCTAGTGCCCGTTGTATTAAGAAATACAATCGTGACCCGGGAGTCGTAGCTACATTTTGTTGTTATTGACTTCTCAGATCATCAATGTTCAGCAGATCTATAACAGATAAGGGTGGCAGAATTGGTAGACTAGTCTCTTGGATTGTTCGGTCTTCTTAATGATACCTTTTCTGTAGTATTGTCGAATGGAACGGCTTAATTTATCGTAATTCATGGCTGGACGGTTTTTTCTCTTGCCCCATAGTCTTGCAACTCGTGCGGAATCCTCAATTTTAAAGATACCTGTAAATACAATAAAACGTTGTTGAACATCAATAGCCAAGTGGAGAAGACAATGCTGTGTGTATTTGAGTTAGTTGGGCACATTTTAGATCTTTGGTTTTTGTGATATGTTAAGTTTATCGAGAAGAAGTATTTGTACTTGAATCAGTGTATTGACGTTTCTGGGTTCACTGAATGTGTATTATTATAGTACCGAAGTGCCTTTGCCACATCAAGAGAATTGTGAATCATCAACAGGTTCTAAGTACACACATACACTAAGCCTATTGCTACAATACTATACACCTGGGAAATTTGAATCATCTTTATATCTTGCAAATCCTACATGCAAAGTTTACAACTTTAGTTATAAACCTTAAAAATATCACGTATGGTACGATAAAGTTTAAGTTAGAATTTTGAAAATGCAATTACCTTTGCTTCTGTCTACCCATCTGATAGCGTTGCCATAGTGTTGAGGCTGAAGCAATAATTCTTTAAGGAATTGCCAAAGATGGATATTCTGGCGGCCATGTTGTACTGGCTCGGGGGAGCATTGCTGCTGTTGCTCGTATTGAAACATATCTGAAAACACACAATGAGAAAAATTAAGTTATTATTCCCAGATGATCCGACCGTATTCAAAATGAATCATCCTATAAAATATTCCTCAATTTAACTTGGAATTAAAATCCAAAAATGAAAAAGTGTAAAATATTTTTAAAATTTAAATTATAATTTTGTTAAATTCCAATAGAAATAAACGCTAATATAACATTTTGTTCAAATGATGATGTGTATGTAATTCCTGGAAGTGCTTGTCATTACTTGACATCGTTGTGTGATTGAGATCGTGTATCAAGTCTGAGTCAACTATCCACTTCCTCACTCCAACTAATGTTAATTGTACAGTAGTTCAATATATATGTTGCAATAACGTATTTACAGTAAACAGAAAACAAGTTAATAAATTTCCACTTAACATGCTAGAGTTATTACGAAATACTGTTGAGGGGATTTGGTCTAATATAGACAGTGTCAACATGATAACCCACTTATTATGAATAAATAACTTTTCTATAAGATTTGTTTTTTCCAATTCAACAAAAATAAAGCACTTGTTAACACTCATTAACATAACACTTTGTTTTTCATAAACTCTATGTGAACCAGGATGAAGAGATTTAACACAACATATCAGGACCATAGTTTCCTATGAAGGCTTAGTGTAAAATGGATCAGCCACGTGCTCTAGTGCTTCTGTGCAGTTATTTGTCTTTGTTATATTCTGTTTACTAGTATCTACTTCTGCACACGCGAACCCATCCCACAATTAACATTTTAATATAAATCATTTGATCAATACCACCAGTCAAACTGTTCCCATGGATACAAGAATTTGGAGAATGTAAATTTTACCACTGGTTTAAAAACAGATTTTTTTGTATTTTATCTTATTTATGAGAACTTAGATCACTTGTAGATGAAGGAGTGCAAGACGCGAAAAAATAAGTACTTGTAAGATTGCTCACATGAATGGAATTAGTAATAGGCTAAAGGCACCAATGCAATACTAGACATCATTAGTTAGTACAATGGTGACTTCACACTATTAGGTTAGTAGCCAAGGTGACCAATGTCATGTCACAATGCAACAATGGATGATATCATCACCCCATTAGAGATCATTTGTACGCAATGTGGGCAGAAGTTAAATGAGAACAAGCTGCCTTGTTTCTTGTAATCCCCTGGCTTTAACAAGATGGGTTCATTTTTTGTCATAACAACTACATTTCTTGACATATTATTGTCCAATCAAAAGACGTTCATTGGATGATAGCATTAAGACCTTGTAATATGATGACTCAAATAACTAAACTTGTTTTTGTTTTCGCCATCTTCGAGAATCATGCTAGTGAAGAATGGTGCATGAACTGCTGTTGTAATGGCTTCATTTGGAGCCAGCATTCTCTCAGCCTTGTTGTTGGAGAATCATCCTTACACTGTGTGATACAATTCAAGGACAATTTGGCTTGGCATGTAACCAGCCAAATGACTCTTGTTGAACTCAAACCATAAATCTACCTCTCCTTACGAAGGTAGTTGGATGGTTTCGCGCAATGAATTAACTGAATAGACTATGGTATACTTACTATTATTGAATGATGTTTGTGCTTCCATGTAGCCATTTCTGGGAGATGTGGCAGAGGCTGCCGAGTAGGCACTATCTGAACTTTCAGTTGAGGGGCAAGGGGACGGTACACCGCCCTTCTGGGGGTTTCTCACTTCCCCATATTGCTGGCAGAATGTGCTTGGTGGACTGGATGGACTTGTGGGCGGAGTAATCTCAAACAGTTTAAAACCTGAAGACAGAAATTCAAACAACCCTGTATGGGAGACTCGAGAGTGAAGCATATGGGTTAAAATGGATAACAAAAAATCAATCATCAAATAATAAATACCAAAACTACAGTATGTGCTTATAAACATCATTTTAGGCATTTAGGTTTCTTTCTTACCATTTCTCCATATCTCTAATTGAGCATATAACATTTCGCCTCCAAGGGGTGCTCTAGCTTTAAAGTCATCTTCACTCAGCATACAAAGTGTGGTACCATTCATATCAAAGTAAGCCAGGTTGACAGCGTGGAGACGGAACTGGTCAATATTCCACGCCAACCAAGCCTTTGTTTGGCTCGGACTCCATTGATAGGGATCTATAAAGAACATAAAATGAGTCATTATTTGAATTTATCTCCCTTTTTATTCTTGGAAATATTTGATGAACATTTATCCTTGAAGTTATTACTAAGATAATCCATTTCAATAATGTATAAATCACTTACCAGCTGGTATGTCGAGTCTGGTACAGGCTAACTGCATGTCTCTCCTCACTTGATCCATCACAATGTCTTCAACAGGGCAGTCATATGTATCAGCTTCCTGCTTTATCCCAAAAGTGGCTTGGTTAGCTGTGGCTTTAAATCCACTCATATCCATGTTGCCATTTAGGGCACCGTTGATGCTCTTTTGACAAAGTGTGGGTGGACATAGAGTTTGTGGTGTGCAACTTCTCGGTTGTGGCACATATGGTCGGTTCTGTGGTACGGTTTGATAACCACTTGTGTTAGAGTGATCATCATATAAGGAGATATCGTTATATCCATTCTGTGAATCTGTCTGCCATTTATCTAGATTGAGATAGCATTTTTCAGCATCTGGATTTGGTGACAGGGTACTGGCAGGTGAGATTGGGGACATTGACATTGTCCCTTGGGAAGAGTTCATCTGACCACACTGTGAAGCAGGTGGTAAACAAGCATTTAGGTCGGGTTTGAAGTCTGCCATCATCGTAGTTGCCATTTCAGCAACTTTAGCTATCTGGTCAGGTGACAATACTTCAACGATGCTTGAGAATGGAACCTGCAGGTACACATATATAAAAACTGACATTAGAATATGTATATACAAATGCAGGCCATGTCATATCTTTCAGTGTTTAATAATACACAGTAGATCTGTTATTTTCGATTGGCTCCCCTTTGGATAGGCTGCCATCTTTTGGTCACAAAGAAGGTGAAGTTATAATGTAAAATGACGCAGTATTTAAACATATTAATATCATGATACAAAATCGATTATACGAGCCAGGTCGACCCAAATATGGAGCTGATAATACTGGATCATAGTCATTATACTAATTTCACCATGTCAAAAACATGTATATTGATTACTGCTAATAATAGACTAGTGTTAATAATATCATCATAACGACTGCTAGATATTAAAACAGGTATCAAGGGTCAACCAAGGAACATCCACTAAGTTCAGATAACAAAGCAATACTTTAAGGACACGGATGCAATTTTCAATCGGTCGGAAGTTACACCTGAAGATTTGTTGACCTATATATTTACATGATAGTTATTTTAAGATCAATCAAGTTATTTTTACCGATCTAGTTGTTTTTCAGTTTATTAGTACTGGATGACACCCAAAGTTCAATGAAAAAACGAGGCAGTTATTAATTACTTGTGTCTCGTTATAATGATGAATCCAAACATATGCAATGAGGTGCGACTTGTTTGTCTGTTTCTGTGTAAAACTAAGTCAGATATTGATTTCAGCCAGGGTGACCGCTGTTTGCCTTGATTGAAACAGTGGATCGATAATCAAGTACTGAACAAGGCTTGATTGTTACTCCATCAGTTTACTCTGCTGCATAGAATCTTCTAGTTAGTATCTACCTGTCTACTTTATTCTGTTTATGAACCCTATTTGCGAGCTGTCAAGGCAAAGTTGATGGATGACTGGACTGTAGATTTCCATTATGTTGATGTCACTTTAATAAACCATAACGGGTAAAAATAGTTGTTTTTCTCTTCATTTATAATCTGCTTTTTCTGCGAATCATAATTTGTACTGTTTTTATTGAAATGTTTATTGCTTTTTTGTTTCACAAACAAGTATATAAAAACCATAAATAAGTTCACAATCGTGATAGTTATTTTCTTGATATTTAATATTGGAGCCCCAAATCATTTACTATGTCAATATTTTGATCGAAATTTGACAACTTCTTGGTTATAAAAATATTTGATTGAATATTGATTTTAGAAATTTGTATCATTGCGTAGACCTCTGTGGAATCTGTATAGTCTTCTCTGTGTGCCACATTCCAGTAAAATAGTTTACAGATTTAAGACATACTGTGAAACAGACTAACACAAACGCACTTGAAAAAGTGGAAGTTGGATATAAAATTACAGAAGTATAGTTGTAATAAGGCCAATAATGTTAAGTAAGTGTAATTCGTTAAACTTTAATAAGTTTGACGTATTTTATGAATGAAACGTCAATCGTGACGTGAAGCATCAGAGATACGATGAACCAACGTAAAGAGTTTTATCTACTCTTGCTTAATCTGAGGTACTTATTGTCAGTGGGGTTGTACTGGTAAATAGGCGAGGGCTTGTTAGTAAATTGTTGAAGTTGTATCCAAAATGAATGGATCCAATTACAACAATTTTTCAATATATCTTCTAACCGATTTCTTAATATAGGGAAATAGACATAATCACCAGAATAATAGTACGATTTCTTAATAATGCAACAGTATTCATGGAATGTGTTACAAAAAATATATGGCCTCAAATTACAGACTCATTTTTAATTAATAACTAAGAAATTATCTTCTTTCATGAACAAAGATGCCAAAAGTTTATCAGGGTAAGGTCACTCCGTGTTTTGTTGATAAGTTCGTGTAGTGTAAAGGACTGGTTGAACCCCGGGGGTTGCACTTATCACAAGACCTGGTAAACTGCCAAAAGTACTTCTCTACCCCGAATCAGCTGTAAACTGAGACCCAGATGTAATCCCATGTAACCTGTTTAAAGGTAGCGAACTGGGTGCAAAACTACATATATACACTCAATAGTGTCCTTGTTCTTTTGAAAAACTAAGCAACCCTGATAGAAATTGATGAAGATAATGAACAGAGAGAGTGAGAGGGGCGACCCAGTGGGTGGGTGGATTGAGGGGAATGTTTAAAAAGTTTTTGGTGGATAAGGGACGTAAGAGAGTAATGATACAAAACTAGTGGACATGGAAACCTTCTTAACCTTGACTCATTTACAGAACATGTACGACTGTTATGAAAATGAATAAATAAGAAGTGTCACGTCCTTTATCTGTTTATCATCCTATGCTAAATTACGTTTCTAATAATCGCAATAGAATTATAAAAATAGAAAACAATGGTGATTATCAGTAATTACAAACGAGATAATAATGAGAAAGATTATTTTCAGGAGCGTTGTGAGAGGATGGTAATCACTAATCACGAAGGTTAAGGTGACCGTATTGTTAAACAAGATAACAATGCCTTTATTAGTTTTACCGATTCTTTATAATTAGAAGAAAGATTACGAAATAAAATAAACTGACTGTCGCACGGACGCCCGTTATTGTAATGTCTTTAGCGAATGTCATTTACCCATTACGGATTATGAACTTTCGCCATCACAATAAGTTGATGGAAAATTCGTGTGACTTGATGTTATTACAAGCAGATAATCTCGAGTTACGTAACCTTAAATTTGTACCGAATGACCCATTTCAGATTATAGAACCAATATTTGAGTCAGCATTCATAAGTGTGTTTATGTTCACCGTGATTGCACATCTTTTGATAAACTCACTAGTACTGGATAACCCACAAATAATAATAACAATGATAATAAAAATAACAACAATAATATATGATGGGATACTGTTTGTTATTTATATATGATTCACTGAATTCTTAAAATCGTGGATGTCACTTTGTAATATCGAAAGAACCACAAGCTCACAAATAAACAGTTGGTATTCAGTTACTTTATGTTACGCAACAGCTATGTCAGCTTGAATATAAGGTTATTAAGTGCTGATTATATTTGATGAATTGCTACTCATATACACATCATGAAATATCTCATACGCCATAAACAGAATTGATGTTTCACAAACGTAATATTTCATAAACATAATGGAATATATGTGTCATCCATTAATTGGACGCTCCGTAACATTAAAGCAGATTTCTAAGAATTAATCTGAGTTATAATGAATTATTTTGCTAATCCAAAACATTTTATTGCATACTGAATTATTGGCTCAGCTTTCAACAATGGTTGCCGACGTTTGGAATAAGTAATTACATTTTTGTTTAATCTTGATTAAAATAAATATTTGTAATATACATGGTTCAATAATAGAACAGTTAATAAGGAGATAAATAACTTCTTTAATAACCTTTTTTACTACGATGCAAATGAAGGATCCATGTTAGATTATCTCTCCAGACCATTAGATTTAATAATAGTAATGTCTGAATGTTAATTATCTTATATGTCTCCAGCATTTAACATATATGTAATTATATACCGTGACCTAATTGTAAACAAGAAACGTGTGAAAAGGAAGTCATCATGGTTACGGCTTCCATATAAAAGGAAGTCTTGACCGATGTTTTGGGATAAAGATAATCGTTATATTGTTATCCTTTTCCACAGAATAAACCACAACAGTCAAGGTCTCCTAGACCTGGTTAGTGTTCCAAAGGGTGTTGTCCCCCTAACAAGGGGTAACACCAGAGAGTGACCCTAATCCTATTAGGGGTTACCACAACGCCTTGAACAACACCCTTGAAATTTCAATAGTCACATTGTAAAAACAAAAACTACAATTTGATGAGAAAAACAATTCGTCATGTGAAATGTAAGCTTACTTCAGGTCGACATAACACTGGGTGATATTATTAGAAGCATTGATCGATACTTTCTCTCTCGGGTGTCCCCATCAGGTCGTACGCATAAATTGACTCGCTTTAATCAAACTAATAATAACTAAATAAATAACTAAAAAATAACAAACACCTGTTATCATGTTCAAATTTAATTAAAAATACTTACCCTCAGTTGATTATAAGTAAATTGCGTTAAGTTCTCAGAAAATTTCATTCCATCTTGTGGTGTTCTATACTAAATGGTGTACGATGTATGTATGTTTGTGTTCCTATAAAATGTGATGACTGACTTATCCAAGTAATATTCTTACTGTAACTCATCTACCCACTGTACTTCTTACTCATTTCTCTTTTAATATATGATAATTTATTCATATCACGTGACCACGTGACCTCTAAATGACCTTATCCTTTTTTATTTTTTTGTAAATAAGCCAACTTATTTTCCCAAAGTATATGTAAATTTCTTCCTAAAATACAAGTCCTTCAGTTAACTCTGAATGTATTCTACTAAATCATAGCTATTTATTTCCCAATTAGGATATATGATATTGATGCTAGGAGTATTGCAAAACAACTGTAACCGGTGTTACCCTTATATTACAATTTGCGGTTGATATAATTATGATAATGGAGAAAAGGAATGTAATGTCAGCTTACCATTTGATCGTCATTCCCTTGCAGCAACAGCGCGTCGGTTAGCAATGTCATTATATGTTACAGATAAACCTCGGTATATCTATTATGTTATTCCCTTGATTATGATACTGCGTCTGATTCGTTTGGTTTTTGAATTGATTCTGAAATATAAACAATAATGCATGGGTGTTTATCAATTAGTCGGCCTGACACAATTACCTTTTAAGTGGATCAGTATCATGCATACGTTTATTGTTCTGTTTATTTTTTGTTTGTTTTTGTCCATTGAATCAGCTGTTATTTAAGTTCACTTCCTAAATTATCTTACATGAACTTCAAACTTAAAAAACAATTATTGTTGGTTAATTTTAGAAAAACATAAGTTCAGAGGTCAGTAAGTGATCTAATTCGGATAAGTGGCAACGGGTTTGAAACTATGAGTCGGATTGAGTCCCCTCGTATACACAGGTCAATGTGACTACACGTGGAGCAGTTGAGAAAAACAACAACTTCAATGTAATAAATCATGTAAATAAAATAGTTCCTTGTATAACTGGCGCAAGCCGATTAAGCTTCAGAAAAACAAAGCTACGGACAACCCTGAACTCAATGTCAAGTGTACATCTCAAGGCTAATTGAGAATCAACACATTTTTAAATGTACAGGAATACAGCTCCATCTATAGCTTGTAAATTTTTTTCACAATAAAACTAACCCAATATACTCGTATTTTACACAATAACAAAATATATTTCACACAATAAATACAAAATGCATGTTTCCAAATGAACAGTCTGAAAATGAAATAAAATCGCTTTACTTCAGCATGTCAGTATGTGTTTGCAGATATATCAGGTATATAGAGTAAACAAAAACATCGCATGTTTTCAATTGCATGTAGTTTTAACACACCAAAATATCAACCACTCAAAAGTCAAGATTAACCACTTTACCACTATACAATAATTAACCAACAATATCACTGCAAAAAGAATCTTTAAACAAGAAGTTCCTAGCTGCTATTGTCTTTAATACCGCAATTGTATTCTAAGTCATTCCACCTACATCATTAACTAGGTCATTTTCTAAAAAGATGGTTGCCATTATACAGTGAAACCGCAAGATTAACAAAGTAATAAGTGGTCAGCTTACCTAGCACGTGGTCCTATACTTCCTCTCTGGTATTCAAATATTAACTGATGTACCATAGACCTGTAGATGATTTTAAAAGGGTCTGATTCATCTTCTTTCTTGGAACAATCCATGTTTACCCCGAGTGTACCGAGTACTCCTGACCTCGAATTACTACGATAGCTGGCCTAGAATTAACGTTTCCTACTTAGATCGACTGGATCTCACCTTGAAACCGCTTACAAACGATACCGATTTCGAGCAAATATTGGGTAACTATCTTATGATTTAATGTTCAACAAGATTAGAAATCCTAAATACATGGTTGTTGAACATAGGATTTACCCAATACAATACATAAAACATGGATTTATGACAAGCTAGTAACTGAAACATAATGTAAACCCTGTGAGGCACATTGTTTTGCCTTCACAAAATTATTTATTCAACATGATGTTAGCGTAACCTTCCACCTACGTACTTTCAGTCTAATTCAATATTATGAAAATAATATGCCTTGATTGGTCGCATTTTCGCGGACTTTTCGAGCATTTAAAATATAGCAAAGTGATAGGTTGTCGACTTTTTACGTCACGAATAAATTAGCGAAAGCGAGGTTGTTTTTCTGTTTTACAAGTGGTGATTCAATATGATAAACAGCGAGCAATGAGTACTGGGTGAAAGAGTACAGATCCAGTACTGATATGTCTTACTACAGCTTTCAATAAGGGAACGGAGCATCGAGTGCTCGCTTTGAAGCCAGAAGGCGTCGGGGGAAGTGAGATGAGTGACTAAGTACAATTCAATTTGTCTTTTATAAATCATGAAAGGACGCTTTCCTGTTTACGTAACATGGATTGACATTGAACCCTGAAATAAAAATATAAACAAAGCCACGTGCTCGCCTACACTTATTTGGAAAACGTTGCAGGGTTTAACACGAACGCAAATGACGATGCAGTGGCACCATGCACTAATGTTCAGCCTGGATCGACCTTGATTTCCAGGCTTGTGTGGAATTGTCAACGCTGTTGATGGGGTTGGTATTGCTTATTAGCGTCAAACTTCCAAAACTAAATTGCTCTTTAAAGTATCGATAAAATGGCATTGAATCGGTACACAAAAAATTAGTCCAGGCATTAGACTGTTCAATGGAATAAAGACACCCGTCTATCGAATTACAAAGTTCTCAAAAGAGTTGCTTAAAAAAGAAGTTGTACTGAATGTCCCTTATAGTTCATTAAACTGTTGCACGTTCTCAATACATTGTTGACTGACTATTTTAGGGTGCTCCCGGATGTTCCTACCAAACGGCCGCCAACAATTCACAAATGCTGAAGCTGGTCAAAATGGTATTGAATAAAAGTCAATGCTCCACGTGTCCATGGTCGACCCAGTGCAGAGCAATCAGTACAAACACATAGACAAGCCAAACACAAATCAAATCTAACCAAGGCCCAAGGAAAGATCAAAGCTACTTCTGGTATTGTACTGGGAGTACACACATACATCTATCTTCATGTTACATTTTTTACATAGCTACATGTCAAATTCCTATGAGACATTGTCGTAAAATTCAAAAGATCATCTTGCCCCGAGGCTTCCAGAGCAAATCTTGCGGTGCAATTGGCTTCGGGTCTGATTAGTTTAACATTCTCAAAGGTGATTAATATAACTCATTTTTAAATAACATTAGTGGTTTTACCAAACACAAAAACCTCAACAAGTGTTTGAACATATCATGGGAATTTTTTAAGATCCTGTATTTATGGGTTTAATCATGAAATATGATCGAGGGGAAAGTTACTGAAGTACTATTGCAATCTTATATGACACCTAGCAGAGAAAAAAGCTATAAATATGGATCAAATATATTGATAAACATTTCCAGAATACAAATTGAAACAGTCTTAGTTCAAATATTATATTCAATAAGCCAATTGAGGCACCATGATACTGTTTAAGGACAATTTTATTGAGCTTGTTTTATGTTTGTTTTGATGGTTAATTGCCAGAAACGTGTTTCGATATATTTCAGATTGGGGCTCGTTGTCTTCTCTAGGGCATGTACTCCCGGGCATGTACTCCCGGGCATGTACTGTATATGATCTATATTTACATCATAAGAGTAAAATAGCAGTAATTTCAGATGATATCAAAAGCTTACTCAACAGGAATACTTACTTTTCCTAATCTTAAGTCACTCTTGATTTCACATAACAAACTCACCATTTCACAAAACAAACTCACCATTTCACATAACAAACTCACAATTTCACATAACAAACTCACCATTTCACATAACAAACTCACCAAGTAATGTGCCACCTTTGCTACCACCGTACAATACATTTTCTTCTGAATTCATGGTTCCCAAATTCTCTTGGTCTTGAAATAAGCATGTTAGAGGTCTTGACCACAGAATCTTAAAGATAATGCCGGTCACTGGCCACACAAACCTCTTATAATTGTCTCAAAAACCAGAACTTGGTGACTATCAAATATGAATTCACAGATCAAGGCCATGAATATTTACAAGGGTAGCTGAAATTGTTGGAATCAAAACCAATAGACCATCATCACAATTTCCATCGAAGTTCAGACCAGTCTGTAACATTGAAAGAAAACTTGGTCAACCGTTAACCGTTGGACCTTTAGCCTAATAAAGAGTGGTTTTGATATTTCCAATGGATATATGATATAATAAAATGTATTTTATAGATCTTTAATTTCAAATGTTGCCGTTTGTGGTTGATGTTGAAGAAAGCAAATAACATTCAAGTCATGCGAAGATATTTGAGAGTGAAACGGTGCAGTAGCTAGTAACATTATCAGGTATCAATATCAAACGCCCAATACCAGAGAAAACTTATGAGACAGAGAACTAAGAAACCTCACTCCAATAATCGACAACCATAGCAGTGACGTATCTAAAAAGCATTAAAACTCAAACGAATTACAAATATATTTAGTTTATATGACAGTTGGCATTAATTAAACCAGATAAAAGGCCCTTGTGTGTGCTTGAGTATCATGATTGCTATTTGTTACTGTTTTACTTGCTGATTTAAGACAACATTAATTATTTTGTTTTGTGGTATTTAACATGCATAACCCATTCAAGTACAAACAGATTAACGAAATTTACAATAATTTTATCCGATCAAGTCGAACTTTATCGAGGTGTGCTTTATTGTGAGTATTCAAGGACAATACATCAATCAAAACCAATTGCATTATAGACTATTACATGCAACAAGATCAAGTTCATAAAAATGCCTAGCTCTTGGGTCACGATGACTTCTATATAGCAGAGAATAAAGGTACAGATCTAAGAATTCACAGAAGTTCCAAAAAAACCACAAAACAGAAAAATTCACATCGTATGTTGAACCTTATGAATCATGATTGAAAAGAAAGCAAGTAGCTACAATTGTACAATGGTACCGCTAAAATAATATGATTACAGATTGATTCTCATACAAATAGGTGGCAAAATTTGATACTTCCTCTGGACCAAACGTGCGAAGTTCACCTAAATAAAAGAATATCTAAGACCTCCCCAGAACAGATGGCGAGGAAGTGCCCTCTGACCTTCCACTTGATCAATGACAATCCCAAGATACAAAAATATACTGTTTTGACAGGGGAATCTGAAGTTTGGTAATTGAAGTAGAAAACTATTTAAATCTGATTTTTTTCTTAAGTAAATGTCAGTCCAACACGGAATTGAGGAATATATTGAGGCACCTTGTTTGGAATAAACGTCAATTGGTACAAAAACTTGTACTCAATATTTGTTACATTTAATTTGAAATTCGCAATTTTGCATGTAGGATGGTGGGTTATTGTGATTCCTCAGTATTAAGGTACACCTTTTGTGGATAAAGTTTATTGAATTTAGTGCTCTTTTCTTTACCCTAAAGTTCATCAATAAAGAATCTTTTCAAGACCAATAAAATGTATGTCATGTCAATTGGTACTTTCTTTGTACTTTAATATTCTGTTATTCCATTTGTATATGCATGTAGCAAAACCGATTGCACTGGAATGTGCTTTATTGTGCGAATTACTTTTTAATGAAGGGATATTTTATAAAAAAAAATTAAACAGGGCCCCGGGCGGTAGTATATATTACATCCATATACCCCAGAGTATAATTGTAGGGGGTAAAATCAACTCTATCAGATCAATCAAAGGGTAATATAATGGGTCTTATAATATTGGATAAACACCAGTTAAGATCAGTGCTGTATATTTTATTGTTTGTATTCTATTGTTTTTAATGCACAGACCCCAGGCGGTAGTATATATTACGTCCATATACCCCTAATAGTATAAGGTCAGCTCTATCTGATCAATGAAAGGGTAATGGGTCTAATAATATTGGATAAAGCAACAATAAAGATCAGAACTCACAGTAGAGCATTTGCCTGAAGTAGCGCATTCCCGAGAGTGCATTAAATCATTGGAAAGAGTCGTATTACATAATACACACTTGGTGTGTTAAGCAGTACAATTACACAAAGTGTGTACTTGGCAAGTGAGGGATTACAGTGTTTGTAGGTTATTATAACTAGATTAATATAACATCGCACCAGGTTCACTCACAAAAATCAACATTTCATTTGGTATATTAAATTTGGCAGCCATGGAGTTTATAAGTACATCTAGGGCTCACTTTCTATGTATAATGATTATATATGATCTACAGTGACGCACGTTTATATAATTATTGTACCAAAAGCCCCATCCAAAAAAGCATAAAGATAAAATATGTAAATAACTTATGGCAGTTATTGTTGTATGAGTCAAGGGCTTGTCAACCGCAAAATCCAGGCTACTTTAAGTAATCGACACACTACCTTTAAATGGCCATATATTCTCTGATATACATAATTATATACTCTATGTGGTTAATGATGTTTTTTGTATATATTCAAAACATATGCGCTATGGTTAACCAACCCCGACCACATTTTACTTTCCCATACATGATGCTGTATATAGAATCCATTTATTTTTAAGAAGACCAAGGAAATTGTATATTGCAAATTGTCGAGACTAAGATTCCTTCCAAAACCATCCAAAACATAATGGATTTTGGTTATAATGTCGGCTATCATTTTAAAGGAGATTATTGATAATGTTTTGGTACTTAGTGGTTATGTACCAATGTCAT